ATGTGAATTTTTTAGAATTTCTAAAAATTTCGATATTTCAACCGTCGATTCTGGAAAAACGGTTGCACCAATCAAAGAAACGATACCGGAAGTGAGTTCTAGAGCTCGAAATCTACAGGAAAATGTATTTGGTTAAGTTTCGAAAATGCAAAAATTTTGCCGAAATTTGAAGAAGGGGGGACCATTGAAAAATTTTCACTTTTAAAAAAGTTGTCTAAAAATTGTGAAAAAATTCAGGGACGTAGATCTCGAGATGCTGATTCCAAAAATATAGTGTGTTGATGGTCACGGAGCAACATTTTCGAAAGAATCGATATGAAATGTGAATTTTTGAGAATTTCTAAAAATTTCGACATTTCAACGGTCGATTCTGGAAAAACGGTTGCACTAATCAAAGAAACGATGCCAGAATTGAGTTCTAGAGCTCGAAATCTACAAGAAAATGTATTTCGTTAAGTTTCGAAAATGTAAAAATTTTGCCGAAATTTGAAGAAGGGGGGACCATTGAAAAAATTTCACTTTTAAAAAATTGTCTAAAAATAGTGAAAAAATTCAGGGACGTAGATCTCGACATGCTGATTCTAAAAATGTAATGTGTTGATGGTCACGGGGCACATTTTCGAAAGAATGGATATGAAATTTGAATTTTTGAGAATTTCTAAAAATTTCAATATTTCAACGGTCGATTTTGGAAAAACGGTTGCACTAATCAAAGAAACGATGCCGGAATTGAGTTCTAGAGCTCGAAATCTACAAGAAAATGTATTTTGTCAAGGTTTGAAAATCTAAAAATTTTGCCGAAATTTGAAGAAGGGGGTACCATTAAAAAATTTTCACTTTTAAAAAAGTTGTCTAAAAATTGTGAAAAAATTCAGGGACGTAGATCTCCACATGCTGATTCTAAAAATATAATGTGTTGATGGTCACGGGGCAACATTTTCGAAAGAATCGATATGAAATGTGAATTTTTTAGAATTTCTAAAAATTTCGATATTTCAACCGTCGATTCTGGAAAAACGGTTGCACCAATCAAAGAAACGATGCCGGAAGTGAGTTCTAGAGCTCGAAATTTACAGGAAAATGTATTTGGTTAAGTTTCGAAAATGCAAAAATTTTGCCGAAATTTGAAGAAGGGGGGACCATTGAAAAATTTTCACATTTAAAAAAGTTGTTTAAAAATAGTGAAAAAATTTAGGGACGTAGATCTCGACATGCTGATTCTAAAAATATAATGTGTTGATGGTGACAGGGCAACATTTTCGAAAGAATCGATATGAAATGTGAATTTTTGAGAATTTCTAAAAATTTCGATATTTCAACGGTCGATTCTGGAAAAACGGTTGCACTAATCAAAGAAACGATGCCGGAAGTGAGTTCTAGAGCTCGAAATATACAAGAAAATGTGTTTAGTTAAGTTTTGAAAATGTCAAAATTTTGCCGAAATTTGAAGAAGGGGGGACCATTGAAAAATTTTCACTTTTAAAAAAGTTGTCTTAAAATTGTGAAAAAATTCAGGGATGTAGATCTCGACATGCTGATTCCAAAAATATAGTGTGTTGATGGTCACGGAGCAACATTTTCGAAAGAATCGATATGAAAAATGAATTTTTGAGAATTTCTAAAAATTTCGATATTTCAACGGTCGATTTTGGAAAAACGGTTGGACTAATCAAAGAAACGATGCCGGAAGTGGGTTCTAGAGCTCGAAATCTACAAGAAAATGTATTTAGTTAAGTTTCCAAAAAGTCAAAATTTTGCCGAAATTTGAAGAAGGGGGGACCATTGAAAAATTTTCACTTTTAAAAAAGTTGTCTAAAAATAGTGAAAAAATTTAGGGACGTAGTTCTCGAGATGCTGATTCCAAAAATATAGTGTGTTGATGGTCACGGAGCAAAATTTTCGAAAGAATCGATATGAAATGTGAATTTTTGAGAATTTCTAAAAATTTCGATATTTCAACGGTCGATTCTGGAAAAACGGTTGCACTAATCAAAGAAACAATGCCGGAAGTGAGTTCTAGAGCTCGAAATCTACAAGAAAATGTGTTTAGTTAAGTTTCGATAATGTCAAAATTTTGCCGAAATTTGAAGAAGGGGGGACCATTGAAAAATTTTCACTTTTAAAAAAGTTGTCTAAAAATTTTGAAAAAATTCAGGGACGTAGATCTCGACATGCTGATTCCAAAAATATAGTGTGTTGATGGTCACGGAGCAACATTTTCGAAAGAATCGATATGAAAAATGAATTTTTCAGAATTTCTAAAAATTTCGATATTTCAACGGTCGATTTTGGAAAAACGGTTGGACTAATCAAAGAAACGATGCCGGAAGTGGGTTCTAGAGCTCGAAATCTACAAGAAAATGTATTTAGTTAAGTTTCCAAAAAGTCAAAATTTTGCCGAAATTTGAAGAAGGGGGGACCATTGAAAAATTTTCACTTTTAAAAAAGTTGTCTAAAAATTGTGAAAAAATTCAGGGACGTAGATCTCCACATGCTGATTCTAAAAATATAATGTGTTGATGGTCACGGGGCAACATTTTCGAAAGAATCGATCGAAATATGAATTTTTGAGAATTTCTAAAAATTTCGATATTTCAACGGTCGATTCTGGAAAAACGGTTGCACTAATCAAAGAAACGATGCCGGAAGTGAGTTCTAGAGCTCGTAATCTACAAGAAAATGTATTTAGTTAAGTTTCGTTAATGTAAAAATTTTGCCGAAATTTGAATAAGGGGGGACCATTGAAAAATTTTTACTTTTAAAAAAGTTGTCTAAAAACAGTGAAAAAATTCAGGGACGTAGATCTCGACATGCTGATTCTAAAAATATAATGTGTTGATGGTCACGGGGCAACATTTTCGAAAGAATCGATATGAAATGTGAATTTTTTAGAATTTCTAAAAAATTCGATATTTCAATCGTCGATTCTGGAAAAACGGTTGCACTACCGGAAGTGAGTTCTAGAGCTCGAAATCTACAAGAAAATGTATTTGGTTAAGTTTCGAAAATGCAAAAATTTTGCCGAAATTTGAAGAAGGGGGGACCATTGAAAAATTTTAATTTTTAAAAAAGTTGTCTAAAAATTGTGAAAAAATTCAGGGACGTAGATCTCGACAGGCTGATTCTAAAAATATAATGTGTTGATACTCACGGGGCAACATTTTCGAAAGAATCGATATAAAATGTGAATTTTTTAGAATTTCTAAAAATTTCGATATTTCAACCGTCGATTCTGGAGAAACGGTTGCACTAATCAAAGAAACGATGCCGGAAGTGAGTTCTAGAGCTCGAAATCTACAAGAAAATGTATTTGGTTAAGTTTCGAAAATGCAAAAATTTTGCCGAAATTTGAAGAAGGGGGGAGCATTGAAAAATTTTCACTTTTAAAAAAGTTGTTTAAAAATTGTGGAAAAAATTCAGGGACGTAGATCTCCACATGCTGATTCTAAAAATATAATGTGTTGATGGTCACGGAGCAACATTTTCGAAAGAATCGATATGAAATGTGAATTTTTGAGAATTTCTAAAAATTTCGATATTTCAACGGTCGATTCTTGAAAAACGGTTGCACTAATCAAAGAAACGATGCCGGATGTGAGTTCTAGAGCTTGAAATCTGCAAGAAAATGTGTTTAGTTAAGTTTTGAAAATGTAAAAATTTTGCCAAAATTTGAAGAAAGGGGGACCATTGAAAAATTTTCACTTTTAAAAAGTTGTCTGAAAATAGTGAAAAAATTGAGGGATCTAGATCTCGAGATGCTGATTCCAAAAATGTAGTGTGTTGATGGTCACGGAGCAACATTTTCGAAAGAATCGATATGAAATGTAAATTTTTGAGAATTTCTAAAAATTTCGATATTTCAACCGTCGATTCTGGAAAAACGGTTGCACTAATCAAAGAAACGATGCCGGAAGTGAGTTCTAGAGCTCGAAATCTACAAGAAAATGTATTTGGTTAAGTTTCGAAAATGCAAAAATTTTGCCGAAATTTGAAGAAGGGGGGACCATTGAAAAATTTTCACTTTTAAAAAAGTTGTCTAAAAATTGTGAAAAAATTCAGGAACGTAGATCTCAACATGCTGATTCTAAAAATATAATGTGTTGATGGTCACGGAGCAACATTTTCAAAAAAATCGATATGAAATGTGAATTTTTGAGAAGTTCTAAAAATTTTGATATTTCAACGGTCGATTCTGAAAAACGGTTGCACTAATCAAAGAAACGATGCCGGAAGCCAGTTCTAGAGCTCGAAATCTACAAGAAAATGTAGTTAGTTAAGTTTCGAATATGTCAAAAATTGGCCGAAATGTGAAGAAGGGGGGACCATTAAAAACATTTCTCGTATAAAAAAGTTGTCTAAAAATTGTGAAAAAAATTAGGGACGTAGATCTCGACAGCTGATTCTAAAAATATAATGTGTTGATGGTAACGGAGCGACATTTTCGAAAGAATCGGTATGAGATGTGAATTTTTGAAAATTTCTAAAAGTTTCGATAATTCAACGGTCGATTGCGGCATTGTTTGTCACTAGAAACCTTCAATTTTGTATTCTACTTCCACTTGTGACGTCAATTTTAATGCGTAAATGCGTGACCATAGTTTACACCTTGCCGTTTTAATTAAGACGTATTATACGAATTTGAGGGCGTTTTTATTTGTCACTTCTCTAATTGAAAGGATGCTCACGTAAAGTAATTTTCGGAATTTGTCCAATCGATTACTGGTCTATGCGTCGCTTAATATGTATGAAAAATACCAGTTATCAGTATGTCGCCTGTACGCTATTTGCATTTAAATCCGGTATTATATTACGATGAGATCTAATGTTCTCCTAATCACTCAAGATATTATTATTATTATTGTTTAAATCTTATAAGAAACAGGATGTCTTTATGTCTACTACGCGTGCGGGATAGTATATTGCCTGTCATGTGATGCTTTTCATCCGAAACTAGCGAAAAATAACATATATCTTATTTGTGGGTAGTGTGTCGATTCGGATTAAATACGCTTGTTGATCACGCGTTGAACTCGTAAAAAATTAAATTTCCCGCCAAATCGTGTTAAAATAAGCGTGTTGAGCAATCGTATTTGAACTTTAACTGCAATCAGTGATTTAAAATAAGGTATGTTGTCATCTTAATTCAAATTTAATTGAACTGCACGTAGACGCCAGTTCCTTCGCATTGAAGACCATTCAATGAATCAAATATTGAATATTAACGATTTTTACGAACGCTTTTGCTAATGTAAACGGAACTAATTGTCTTAAATTTAATATTTTTAGTAACTTTATTGTAATTGCCATAACGCACTAGATAAATACAATTAGACCGAGCTAGTGCTAGAAGATATGACCGATTATTAAATTTGACATTCTAGGCGGCCTTTTCAAATTTGGATTGAAGCGTTCTATATTAATAACTTGTTTGAAAACCACAATGTAGTTTAATAAATGTGTTGTAAAAATAATAACAAAAAGCATTTTTAAGATAATGGCAAGTTTAATTCGTTTTTTAATTTTTGGATGAATTGATAATTAGAAAATACTTACCTGGACTATTTGTTTTCTAATCTGAAAATTACAACAATCCTTAAATCTCTAAATATAAGGGTCAGTCCGTCATGTTATCAAGATAGTTCAGCACCAAGTAAATTAAATCGGAGTAGTCTACGTCACTTGTCAGGTGATGCGTCGTCAATGTACTGGCACACAGGAGCAAATTGAAGAATAATAAACAAAACAATATATTGGAGTTTCAGAATTTCAAACAACGCTTCGTTTTGTTATCAGTCTGATCGATGCATATCATTACTTCGTTTTTGTATTCGCAACGAAAGAAGTCTTACCTGAAGGCCGACCATTTCCGGGTCAATAGTGAGTCTTTAATTTAACACCAAAGTAACTTGTGTTGTTTTTTAGATTGCCAAAACAATAAATAATAAATTAATAAAAAATCAAACTTTTTACAATAATTATAATAACATCAAAATACCTTGTCCCATTAATGTTGGTAACTTACTGATTCTTGTATTATAAACAAGCTAACATAAATTCTCTGGTTTTTAATTTTCTCAAATGTCATCCACAGCAAGGACTGGACTGGTGTAACTCGACTGATTGTAGTAGAAGTATTTTTTCAGGATAATCCCAGTTTTGTCTGGAACAACATAACTGTCCAACGAGGATCAAAATATGTCGTAGTGAAATATGTAATTTTGATTTTTCTGTTAAACGTCAAACTGTACGAATTGTAAACACAATTTTGATAATTTCTGTCATTTGCCATCTCCATCATGCTTTCGCAAAACAATATTCTCCTTCCTTGTCCGCCACAAAAATTTGTTGTTGTCTTAGGTATTTATAAGATTTAAATTTTGAACCGTAATAAAATGCATCCCCAAAATTTATTCCATTTTTCTCAATGACACCTTTTTATTTTCGACCACATTATGAAAAACAGTCCATTTTTCCTACACTAGCGCCAGGATTATTCCGTTGGCACTTGCAGAATTTGTTTACAGTAGTTAATGAGAAATTAATTAATTTTCAATGAATTGTCACATTTCACGGTTAGTATAGTTTCCCCAGTTCCAATTCGGTTTTATGATAGTACCCTATTAAAAAAAGATTACTACTGTTGGTGATGGGACTGTCATAAATAAGAATTTCAACATTCCCTTACGATTATGCAGTATAATGGTGAAATCTTTATGTATGACAGTCCCATCAACTGCTGTAGTAATCTATTGTTAACGAAGTTAACCAAACTGGGGAACTATACTACTTTAACACAAATCGTGTTTTTTTTTAATAGGGAAGCCAATATTTTCAATTTTTTATTTTTACTTGTAACATCGCTGCGTTCAAAAACGATTCTACGACCGATATTTACCGCATTTCATTAAAAAAGTCATTTTTATTAGATATTGTGTTTTTTTTTTGTAATTTAAAGAAGTCTCAGATAAAAACTCAAAGCCGTTATATCCTGAAAACGGGTAAAGATATTGAAATTCTGTAACTGCATCTACCTAATAAAAACTGACACAGACGACAGATAACAGACAGACGGGCAGACGGATGGAAATGGAGACCTATTTTTTGTAGTCTAAGGATCATGAAACGTCCAGAAAACATTAAAGTAACCAATCGTCAGATGGACCCTATTACAATATTTTCTTAGCTTTTGTTTGGGAAGTAAAAATTATATTAAACACATTTTCGTTTGTTTAGGGAAAATATATGTGTCCTTATGGCATTTTCCCACGGCATATTTTCTTTGATTAAACTAGCTGCCATATAGAGGTGTACATTATATGGAGAATACACCGGAAGCACATACGTTAGTTATATATCTATATTGTGCCGGAAGTCTGCTAATTGATAACAAAGTGGGTACGGGAGCACCATGCTGGCACTATGACAACTGTTCATTTAAAAATGGTAATATATTAAATTCTGTTTATTGCCCTAACTGAAAACATGCGTGTAATACACAGTACAATTGTACTAAGTACAGGTACAAATTTTTAAACTATTTTGTGCTGGTTAAGTGGAATGATTTAAAATTCTTACGAGTATTAGGGAAGTTATCGGGTTGAGTAAACTCGTTCGATGAAAACACTACCAGAGTGTATTAAGCTTAGCAGTCTCATTTTTCAGCACGATAATGATCAACTAGGTAAAGTCTGAGGCACTGAAAGATGGGAGAGTTGATATTCATATTTTAGATGTTTAATTTAGATTAGTTCTAAACATGTTGTGTTAAGGGTGAAAACGCCTTTAACAAAATTGAATATATTACTTTAAACTGTGTTTTTATATGACACTGGCAGGGATTTTAACCTTCTAACCTAAATAATTCGAAACCTTCAATGAAGTAGGTAAAAATATTCCAGAAATTCAGCGGCGTCTTTATGGAAATTCTTCTATTAATTTTAAGATTTTTTGCGTGCAACAGAATGTTAATTATTACGGGTATAGAAATACAGAAACGGAGTTATTTGGAAGGTATTTAATTATGGCTGCTTCTTAAGGCGGGTATTTACCATTAAATTTATTTAATCAAACGACATATGTCAAGTATGTACAAACCCCACAAATGAAAGAGAAACAATCGAATGAGTTTTACCAAATTGAAAGCAACATCTTAAAAAAAAACTATTTATTATTAACAATTTTGCGTTCTAACCTCACTTTTTCGCTGTACGCGCGGTATTGTGCGTCTTTTGTCCGTTCGCTTTTATTTGAAGTATCTCAGTCGTGTGTACTTCGGCATACGTGACGCGTTTTTAGATTGTTTTTAATTAACGATTTAAGTTTCCCAAACATGCGCCTTATCGCATTAAAAAACTGAAAGTCATTTCCAAGCAGTAAAATTCAAACAGGACGAAATTTATCAAATAAGTATTTACTTTTTGCATGAGTTTTGTCGAGAATTAGGGTATCAGCGTTACCGAATCGAACGAAAAAATCCCCAAAAGGGTTAGTTTGAAATTCTAAGCATTCCGAAGTGACGGTATGAATATTTATAATGGCGCTAAGAATTTCCTTATTTTTTCAGTACCTTATATACATACGCATTGTCTTTGTCTTAAGAATGTTGATCTTCCTGTATTAAAGGAATCAACAATGCTTTTGTTCTGTTTTAGGACAACATTATTTATATTGACATGTGTAGGAAATGTGTCCACTTGGTTACAACGGAATTTTGCATTGAGTATTTTGTCTATGTAGTCTTGGTTTAATAACTTCGATATCCTGTTTGAAGGGCGTCACCAATTCATGACATGTACCCACCTATATATAGCATATCGTATGATAATTCACAAAAATAAGCTCATATCTAAGCAAAAAAAAAAATCATAAAGCACCTTCAGTGAAAAAAATATTTAGTCACTTTGTAGTTCTAGTGTGATAAAAAAAGTCGTTAAAATCACCTTTTACTGATATATAAATATATATTTAAAAAAAAAGTTTGCGTCGCAACGCCAATGTACTAAATGAAGCTTTCCCCTTCAAGCTAAAAAAGCTAAAAGCAATGTCGATTACGAAAATCAATATTTTCACTTGTATACCGTATTAACAACAAAATTTTATATAGTGAGATTGTGGTTAATGGTAAATGGATCCTATTTTTTTCTAATAAATATTAGATCACTATCATGCCCCATGTTCTCTGATAACAGCCTTCCGTACATATCTATCTTTTCTCGTAACTGATACTGATCGTCTGTGATATTTTGTTGATAAGACCTACACGTTTTAAATTTCTAATTTTCAGTATTATCTAGTCACCAATTGTGTCTCAGTTTTTTTTTATCCATCGATGGTACTTCAAAAACATACTGCATTAAATTTCAAAAACTCATTTTGAAGTCAGTTTCTGCAAACAAAAGCAAGCAATTATTATTTTTTTTTTTAGATAGAAAAAGGTAAACTTTGAATTCGGTCCTTCCACCGTATTCAAAGTTTACTTTTTTGTTTAGAATTAATGTGTCTATAATTTGTGTTCTTTGAAGGTGCAAAATTTACATAATAAAGGCATTTTGTGCCAAAAGAAAAAATACGGATGTAATAATTTTTTAATGCAGTCTGTACATGTGGTACAATTCACAGATATGGGGTTCAGGTATGTGACACTTTTAATGACTAATTGTTGATCTCTTGGAAGCACAACGACCAAGTTAATTAATATTCCGCCGTAATAGAATTCATAAAGGAAACTAAAAGTAATAATAACGTACCATGTAGAGAATGGTTAACATCATAGCTCGGTGTAACATGGTAATTTTTTTGTTAAGGTGCCGAAGATACGAATCAGCGATAATTGATTAAAAATATCTATTTGTTTTTGTGACAGTCTTGGAGATGCATATGTTGTGCTTCTTGTGAGATTTTCAAACCATCCGAGAAAGCGACACCTCTGTCATGTAGGAAAAACAAAATAGCGCTCAAAGACGCGATGTTTTAGATAATTTGCAAAACATCTCGTTTATATTCTGCTAGTAGTTGAAGTGAGTAAGCAGTGGTGAAGAATTCATCGGAATTAAATGTCGCCTTAATTATTATGGCGTTTTCTCATCGAGCGTGATTTAAGGCACCATAGTAATGAGTGATGGATTTCGGAATAGGTTTTTAAATGTGCGTTACCCAAAAAGTCGCGTCGTTATCCAGTGACGAATGCTAAAAACGCGCATCTATATTCATCAGCCGGCCGGATATGTTGGTTGTTTAATTATTGTTTATTGTTAATTGTTATAGCGAAATTCAGTGGTCAGTTTCCTCGCGCCCACCACCCTCTGAAGACGCTCAGTAAGAGGTCAGCAGTGTTTACAAACAATCGTCACAATGCACAAAGGTCGATAAGTTTGGATTTATAAGTAAATAGTGATAATAGAGGATTCGAGTCATGGATAATAATACTTGTGAAGGCATGGTGGAAGTTGGTGTTCTTCGCTACACGATCATCACGCTGGTCTTCTTCATCGGGGTCGCTGGCAACATCGCTGCCCTCTGGATCCTCTACAGATCAGCGCGAACCAGGAACAAGAAGCACGTCCTGATGCTGCGATGTCTCGCCGTCAACGATCTGGTGGCCGAAGTGGGCATGTTCACCGTCATAACCCTCCAAAAGTACGAACTGGTCCCTATTTACTGGAGGTGTGTGGGTTTTGTGCTCCTCCGCGCCTTCGGACTGGGATCGGGATGTGTGGCCTTTGTCATGGCTTTAGAGAGATGGGTGGCCCTCACAAGGCCTTTCTACTATCAACAGGTACGCCCTATTTTTACCTGGGTCAAATTCTTGCCGTTTTGTAGACACACACGAGGGACAAAACGATAAGCAATGAACGCACCCAGCGGCCGCTCGCGTAAAAGTGTCCAGGCCGATGTAAGTTTTTGATTAATGTCTGTATGAAAATTCCACCGTTTGAATTATTTCCTAATCGTCAGGTTGTTTAATCTTTAAACAGCATGGGATACAGCCAGGTATGACAACCCTCCAATTGAAGAACAATTATAATAGTGACCGGTGTAATTTATTGACTAATGTTTGAAAAGGTATCTGTGCGAAAATTTGTTTTATTTCCTTGATCGCCAGGGTGTATAAATTTCCAATATTGTTATTAATGCTCCACTAATTCAGGCATGATTCTAACAACGAAATGATTACACAAATAACTGTTTAAAACATTTGTCGAGAAGTTACATGGGCCAGTTTTGATTTGACTCACAGTTCGCGCCAAATACGGTTCTCATTTGGTCTTAATAGGGGCCATTGTGCGTTATTTTACTCAGATTTGCAATTTTGTTTGTCCTCCAGGTTCTTTATTTGGTGTCAATTTACATAATGGCGTAATTATGCAGCACACATTACACATTCATTTCAAGTAACATAAAATATGCATTTTTCACTCTTGAAAACTAAATACTTCACAACAAACAGATTAATCATAATCGTTTAAATAATGACATTTAAATAGGACCAATAATTACTAAAGACTACCATTCGATGTGTTGATGGCATACAGTGGCGTAACGAGTAACCGATCACTATATGCTGTTAATACACGATAATGTTGTCATGTACAAAAATTTTCACGTAAGCTTCGCTTAAACAAGATGTTGAAAGATGAAAATACTCAATTTGTTTCTGTATATGACATTTTTCGACGAATGTAGACGTTTAAGTTTAGCTGTTTTTAAATTCTAACCAAAATTTTGCTAATCATCCCTACCAACAATTTGATGACGTCATTTCAAAGAATTCAATGTTTATTTGATTAACCGTCAAAATTTTTGCAAAAACATAATGTACGGTATAATAACAGTTTACCATTAGAGTAACGCATTCCGGTTGTGATCTAGTGGGTACGAGTTTGCCTTTCATTTTTTCTTTTTTCTTCTTCTCTTTTTCTCTCGCATTGTTTGTTATGACGTCATACCAATTTTTTTATTGATGATTTTTATTTAAAAATGTAAAACCTTCTCGGGGGCGCCAAATGTCTTTTTTTAAGAATATGAAACCTTCTTGGGGTCCCAACTGTCATTTCCAAAAATGTAAAACCATCTCGGGGGCTCCAAATGTATTTTTTTTAATGTGAAACCGTCTGAGGGGTCCCAATTGTCTTTTTTAAAAATATAAAACCTTCTCGGACGTTCCAACTGTCTTTTTTAAAAATGTAAAACCTTCTCGGGGGTCGCAACTGTCTTTTTTTAAGAATGTGGAACCTTCTCGGGGGCTTCGAGTGTCTTTTATATTAAATCTTCTCGAGGCTCCCAACTGTCTTTTTTTAAGAAGGTGAAACCTTTTTTTCTAGTACACTGTGACTAGTACCTTCTATACTGTTTTTATTATTGATGTTATCATGAAAAAGTAAAATTCCGCAAAATTTTTTTATAATTTTTCAAAGAAGTGGTATTTGTTAGCCTGTACTTCAGAAGCAAGGGAAGTTCTGTCGAAATAACTTTCGACTAATTTTTTCAGCATATTGTTAAATTTTCTACAAAATTTGCGGTCTTTAATTTTTTAGAAATTCCCAGTACCTACGTGGGAACTAAAGTTCTTATATATTACATTACTCTAAATAAAAGTAATATTTCAAAAGTTGTTAACGCCAAATGTAGATCTAGATTTACATTTACAAACGGTTTTTCCAATACTTTGCACTTGTTAGAATAACGCGACGTTTTGCTTTGGAATAGATTTTTACATTTTAAAGTTGCTTGCTGGTCCCTATTCCTTCGTTATCGACAAAACTTATCCGTTCTACAATGGGAGATTAAATAACATGCAAAGATGGCATCAAAAACTTTGTAACATAAAAGCTCTCGTGTAGGAATTGAATTGATTTTTTAATGCAACCTCATTCCGTTGTGTAACGTATTAAAATACATTACATGTAGCTTATACGTCCTACTGCACAGAATGATGATTTTTTCCTCCAAAAAAATCTTATAAAAAAATCGAGATCACAATAACACAAACCTGCAAAATTAATTATGAATTTCATTAAAAGCCTACTACCGTATTTTTTTCAAGACTATAGCATATATATGAAATTTTTGGTTTTAATTTTTTTAACTGTACGTTTTTTAACTATTTTTATGGTAATTATCGTCCGAAAATGTATTGGATCCATCTATTTATTTTAACACAAGTTTTTCATCGCAAGCCTGTGTAATTAATAGTGTTTTGAAATTTTGCCAGTCGTTTCAAAATTATACAAAAAGAGAACTGGAATTTGTCATTTCAATCCGTTAAAATATTTTTATCGTAAGGTACTATATAATATAGTCATTTATATTTATGGATTCGAACCTTAGTCATTGGCAATTATTTTGAAAATGTATATACTCCTAACTCGGTTTGACAGTAGGGCTAAACAAAATTTTATTTACAATGGGTTTTTTTATAATATTTGCATCTGTATTTTAGAATGCTAACAGCACATAAGTTGGGAGAAAACACTATGTTTTTTTATCCAAACCAATTTTTTAAATTATCGTGGTACAGGGATCGCCGAGTTAACCTTGCTACGCCACTGTCTGCGATGCGATAAGCTAAATCAAATTAACGCTACCTCTCGAGTTTTTCGTTGGATGCCATTGAACTATTTAAAATCGATTGAATGTAAGTAGATAGTTGTACAATTTGTGGAAACAACAATTAGAGTTGATTGGTTTTTAAACGATTTGATAACAGTGAGTGTATAGTCAAACAGTTTTTGTGCAAAGCCGTCAAATAACTGAAATTCCAGAATTTAATAGTCTATTTACCGAAATATTGCTCTAGAGCGATATCGACGGTAAACAATGTATTTTATTACAGGTGCAAGAGTGTCACAATAAAGCTACAAAAATAAATTAATTATAGAGGCCTCAAAAGTGTACCAAGTAAATAAACTAATTTATTGGAAATAATTGGTAGTAGAGGAGCGTAAATTAGTGTAAATAAAAGCACAGCGTGGGTTCCTTTTTGGTGCAGTAATAAAATGTAATTATGTTGCACCACAAGCTATTGTATGACATTTAATTCTTTTCTTTGTTTCCTGTTGTTGGTGTTTTTGCTAAGAATAGTGCAGTGTTTGCACATTCTTTTAGAGAAACTCGAGATCGTTTTATTTTAATCTTTAACCAATAATTGCGGTTTCTCTTGGAGGTTTCGTTTGTCAGTAATGCACGCCTACAAGTGTACCGGAAGTTTATTTCAGCACTATTTAGACGTCAGATGAATCAAAAAATTAATTTTAAACCACCAAAACAAGCTTTAACTTTTTTTAAATATGTCGCACAACTTGTGCAAACACAATAGAATAGAATGCATAACTCGACCCCATGACTTCCCCGATGCGCATTAAAACTTTTGTTGTAGCCATATGGTACGTAATTCTTTATTTTTATGAAAAAAAATTACAAGAATTTTTTTCTATCAAACGAAATTGACATATTAATATTTGATAAAATATAGTACATGTGGGAGACGTGTTGTCATTGATTGACGTTTGCTGTTAAAAGCAAGTTCTAAAGAAACAGTTTCGGTGAAGCGCGTCTAACTAAATTGTATTTCTGCAATGCAGACAGCGAACGAGGGTGACATAAATCCTTCGACTCCTTGTTTGTGTTTACGTTAATGTATTTTTTTTATTTTAGCTAGTCACCTACAGAATGATAAAAATATTTATTTTCTCCCTGTGGTGTGGAGGAGCCTTATTGACTTATCTCCCTCTGTTTGGTTTCGGATTGTACTACAAAGGAGAACCCGACGACCATCACGATGGAAAATGTTGTAGATATAGGGATGCCACAGAACTTAGCGACAAGATTTATGCTTACATATTTTTTATTTTCGGTAAGTTTTATTAATTAATTTTGGCTTTTTTAATTAAGTAAGGTTAAGAAGAATGTGTTGTCTTATCGAGTTATCATCTTCGGGTTATTCAATAAAATGCCGACAGAGAAGTTCTCACGTTGCCATACTTTCTTTGGTAAATGTTAAAATTTTCTCTTGGCTCAAAGCCGGCTTTGATGTTTCATTTCTGAAGCGTACATAAGGAGAATCAAAATAAAAAGATTATGTATTACCGCAAATTGACAAGTAAATATGTTATATGTATTTACGATATAATATTCGAATTTCTCGTATATTTTACATTGAACATTGTAATTACTATGTAATGAGAAATGACATTGTATGTAATACGTGCATGGGACTCAGAGCAGCCCGTGGGAACGCATCCACCTGGTACATAAAAGTCTTGGTTAGAAATCAGGGTAATTTTTCTTTAAATAAAAATACACAAATGTCGACGAAGTATGGCTTCTATGAAGTAAGAAAATCATGTAAGTGTCAACTAAGTTTCTTACTTTGTGGAGTGTTTTACTTTACATATCAGGTACACGTTAAATGTGTCCTATCAGGTTTATTTACACTTTCGTGTGTTATAAAAAGTTAAAAATAATCAGTAACAATTGTTGTAGTAACAACGCTGTCTGTCAGTGTTGTATATTCTTAATCTTAAACAAGCACGACTTTGATATTGAAAACTGGAATTGTAAAAAGTCCTTCGTTTAGCAAATTTAAGTAAATTAGGAGAGATTTCCTGTAACTTTTAAAAATCTTATCAAAGTAGAATCGCACAAGAAAGTCAAAAATTTCAGCAGATTTCAATTTTTAAATTCAAAACATAGTACCGGTACTGGGTTCAAATGGAAGATAAAATGTTGGTTTAAACTCTGTGTGAACTATTAATCATTATGTAATTAATTCATTGTTAGATAGTATTACATAAGGTCATTTCACCTAGTAACAACTTCTCACTAAATAACAAGTAAAGGTTTTGATAGTAATTGTGTTAGTAGACATTTGGATTTCTGCTTTATTTTTTTGTAACTTTCAATCTACTTTAAAAGTTTCGCATTATTTGTTTTATCTCAGTGGTGATAATAATGTATTTTTTACTTCCCGAGTCTAAGCGAAGAAAGTCATAATAGGGTCCATCGGGCAACGGGCTACTGTCATGTTTTCTCGACGTTTCATGACCCTAAGTGTACGTCTGTCTGTCGTCTGTGTCGATTTTTATTAGACAGATAATATCCAAAACTAACAGACCGATTGTCGTAAACTTTTATCTGTATTTTAGGTATATGGTGTAGATGGTAACATGTTAACTAAAATTTGTCTAATCATCTCCACCGATAATTTGATGACATTATCTCAATATTTTGCTTAGTACACACTTTATAAAATAATGAAATCTTGCACCTGTGGTTTATGAATTTACCTTTACAACAGAAACATTGTTTCATATATGATTATAAGCACTTAATACTGTGCTGAAACTCAATTTTAATGCAAACTGAATACTAACGTACATTTTTTAAATATAAAGTTCTTATACAAATATGAAAGCACTTGTGTTACTCTAAGAGAATATATTCAATATATTATTTATAATTAGATCTTTTTCACATAGCTGAAGGTGTTTGTACACAATATTTGAAATAGTCCATCCCGGATTAAGACAAAATTTTTAACTAAAAGACGTAAAAGTTTGTAGTGGTCTATACAGTTAAAAAAACTTTTTATTTTTTTCAGGTACTGCTTTGTGCTTTTGTATAGCGTTTTGCAACCTTACCGTGATTTGGGAACTGTCAAAAATCCGTTCAAATGACCGTGTGTTAGTTCGAAGAGTGAGTCGATCTACAATGAACAGTCGAATAGCAGCAGCCAAGTGTCAAACCCCGGAAGAAATAGCCTTTGCCAAGTTGATGGCAGTAATTTGCATCATATTCGTGGTGTGTTGGGCTCCCCAAATGGTATATATTCTGTCTGACGTTTCTGCCTAAGATTAATAGAGACGTTTTAGATTTCAATTCCGTTGGCCCAGTTTTGGAAAAACTCGACTTTTGACAAAGTGTTCGCAAAAATGGCAAACTTCCTCATGTGTACTTACTTTACGTTGGATCCCTACGTCTACGTATTACAACGTTACATAGAAAAAAAGAAAATCGTGTTACGGTGTTGTTGCCCGCGTCGCTATAAGGGTAGTATCCCCACTTCTTCAGTAACAGCAGGAACGCCCACTTCCGTTCTTTTGCATCCTCCTTCCTTTACTAGTCTCTCCGTTATGTAAATTTTAACCTTTTTACAAGTATTTATTGGTTTCTTTAAGAAATTTCTTAATTATGCAACTTATCGCGATTGCTTAGTGTACGAGTCTTTGTTTGGAAAATTACTTGACCCAAATCTCGCTTGATGAATGATTTAGATAACAAAAACATTGCATGTTGATTCAAAATTTATCTACCAGTAGGGCAGATGTTATTAAGAATGTGCTTTACAAAGCAAGCATTACTAATTTCGACGAACTCCATCAAGTACCCACGAGCTTGCGACACACACTCACCCCATTTTACTATCAAAATTCATAAACAACCAAGTCGCACTCACAAATATCGGACGACATGCCCTAGTTTAGTTCAGTCTAGGGATTACATGGATATCGCTAAAAGCTGATAAGAAAATTACCAGCCCTTAGTTTTTATCAAAAGGGATGCTTCTAGTGATAATTAATTCACCGTAAAATGTATATAACGATCTGATGTTGTTTCCAACTTAAAGACGCTTCTTAGTTTCAGTTTTTGTTCTGTAATTCGATTGCAGTCAAGGCGTTTTGTGATAGTTATGCACGTTCGTATTTATTTTTGTCATTAATTACGTTACTTTACAGGACGGGATGGAAACACTGTCGCATCCGTTTTAATATTCAAAAACAAAAGAAACGGCTGCGTGAAACTCTTGAACTATAAATAATATGATTACTACATATTTTTGTCTATAAAGGGTGTGAATTTATTTAAATAAGAAGAAACAGCGTCGCCTGAAGCTCCATGTAGAAAACTAATTGTTGTTGTTTACTGATTTTAAAACAATCAGTATTAAGCGGAGCTTATGTATTACAACGAGTTATTTTAACGAATAAAATAATTTGCAGTATTGTCTCATATTTTGTACAAATATTTGATCAATATACATAATATTACTAAATAAATAAATCTAAACACAGCTTCTTTCAGGATTATTAACTATATTTGAGAAATTAATCTATAATATACCAATTAGTTTTCCACATTGTGGCTACAAGTTTCCTTTAGAAGAACATTCTGTATATTGATAGTACAATAGTCCAAATTGATAGCTTTGTACAGTTATTAATTTTTGGGACAACTTCTGTGTTAATTTTTTTCTAGAATACATTCCAGTATGTGTCTTTAACAAAAAATAGAGAATATGTTTGTTTATCTAGTCATCGCCTACAAAATGGAAAGTAGGGCTACGAAGGCATAACAGAATATTTACAAAAAAGACACTTCCTGTGGTGTTAGAATTATGTAGAATTACTGGATCATTCTATATATTAACAATAAACTGAGTAAGTATATGATTTAATTTAAGCCGGAGAGCGCTTAAGAACGGATAGAAATGTATTCATTTTTATAGTGATTTGTAGTTTATATATTCTTTACACCTTTTGGATTATAATTTTCTACACCTTAGCTTAAAGGAGAAGTTTAGAATTTACATATGTATGTACTACCGATTTTTTTACTGGTACAGTATTCACGCTTCATGTATTAATTTATGATTAAGTTTTCAGCTAACTTTATGTGAAAAACATTTTTGTAAATTTTGTGTGGCAAAGAGCTAACATTGAAAATTTTTCTATAGTAGGTCACTGAGGTGTAAAATTCGTACAAATATTGTCACCAAAATAAACACAGCGTTATTTTGTTTCATGAACATACACACTTTCACTAACCCAAGATTGTTGTATATGAGTAATTTATTCTTAATTTGTCTTATTTCATCTTCGTTTACTAACAAAATATAACATAACTATGGATTATTTGCATAATAAATCACAGCAATATTATATTTTATAGTTAGTTTGTGGTGCAACTTGTAATGAATGGTAGATAGTAGCTTATCTCAGGCTATGTTTGTAGTTATATTTAAAATTTCCAGGATTAGGATTCATTTATAAATTTTGCAATCATTTCTGTTGTGTCGTTAAAACTGTAGATATACGGAAAATCATAAAAAAAAATGTACTGAGTAAGGTATTGCTTGTTCGATTTGGTTCACCGTGTAAACAAAGAGATTGTTTTTGAGTTCAAGAACAGTATGGTAATTTTGTTATATTGAAATAACAGACTGATATTATTTTGTGATATAACTGTATAGAAAAAGGACTGTTATAAAGAATTAACAGTAGTTTATGTAGTTTTATTCCAATTCTATCACATCTGACATGTTTTGAATTAACATGTTGTAACCGAAAAGTCGATCGTTTTGGATTTTTACCTCAGAATTTGTTACTTGTTCAAACAAACGTTGAGTGTAGCGGAGACCTTCGTCTGTCGTTAGATTTGATTAGTTGTAGATGTTTGGCATTTGAACAGCGAGTTTCATGGTTCTGAAAGGTTTCTCTGCATTTTCTTGGTTTATTTTATATTCAGTTATCCGTCTTTCCTAGAATCGTTTGTTTTTAATAACTATATAACTACATCCAACAACACTAAATTTTGGCTTCAGTGTTTGCGTAAAATACACTTATTATTTTGACACAAAGATGAACAACATCTGTTAAACTTATTAAATGTTCCTAGACACTTGAACACTTTAAGCTGTTTAGAAACTTACTTTTGTTTTAATTTAACAGTTTAATTAGTGTTATGTACGTTTTACAATATTTGCCACTTCAGGCTGCCGTAATGCTATTTAAGTAGAAAATTACAACACTATTATATTTATTGCATCTAATGTCTTTTATACGTTTGTTTGTTAAGCTTTTATACACGCAAGCTTGTATGAACGTAATATTGTTCTTTTCTCTTATATTTTGCTTTCTCATGTTGTTTATAATTTGTTTATATGCTTGTATTACTTAATTATGGTACCTTGATGGATACATACATACAACGTGTTATTGAAAGGTACGTACAAAATAAAATCGGGAATTGGTCTCGAAGTATGAAAGCTAAAAGTTAAAAAAAGTTCAGGTAAAAGTGTTCTCCTTTTAGAAATAAAAATTATTAAATTTATGTCCAAATTCATTGTACGCCTCTGATAAAAAGATCATCTTTCGTTTCTATAGCAACGTTTAGTCTTGACAAAAGTTTTATTGTTACAGTTGCTAGGGTTTGCTAAAATAAATTAATTTTACCTATTTATCCTTCAGTGGCGTCTAAAAAGGTTGGATAAGGGTTAATTTTCCCCTTATAATTTTGATAACACAAAATAAGTTTTTCAGACTTCTTAGACTTCGCGAAGATCTGTCCATTTTGTTGTACGTACCTTTCAATAACACTCTGTATATCCCCGGGTCAAATATATATTGTTATTATAAATGTTTTTGTTTATTTTTAGAGAATGTATGATTAATTAATGCTTAATGCGAAAGTGGGACCAAGAAATATTTTTCAAATCACTTTTAATTAAACTTAGAAACTCCAAATAGATCGATATGAAACTTTGTACACACTTTAAGGTGGTCTTCATGTGGGGAATCGCAAGTAAGAATTTATCTGTTCGTTTCTTCTAAAAACCTGATGATGTTAGAAAATCTTGCTAAGTGAACGCGTCTTGAAATTTTCGTCTGACATGCTCCTACATTTGTTGTTTAATAATGTATTTATGTTTTTCACAGAATTATGAAAAATAATGAATGCATAAATTGATTTCTGCATGTTTTCATTTTTGTCAGAAATAGTCCATTTAATTTTTGCTTCCCCTGCGTAAGCTAAGGAAGTATTGTAATAGAGTCATCGGGCGACTGGCGACTTTCATGTTTTCGCGTCTACTTCGAGGGCTAGGGAAGTTTTGTCGAAACAACCCTCGACCATTATTTATAGAGTTTATAGGACGCACAGAAATAACTGTATTTTGACAGTTTTTATTAAATTTTTAATAATTTTCAAAGACATTTCGAGTAAAATTTGCCTACTTTGTATATGTAGGCGTCGTCAAAGTACGTAAACTTTGAAATTGTTAGCTTTAAAAATTTTATACGGGTTAGTTATTCTTACAACACGGAGAACCTCTTCTTAGGGAACATAACTTGAAGCAAAGATGTTTGAAATATTTTTTTTTGTGTAATGTGTAATTTTGTAATGCGGTTGTATATAGACGAGGCTATTATAAAGAATTAAGAGTAGTGTGTGCGGTTTATTACCGTTCCGTCATGTTGACTCTTACATGTTTAATAGGAATCGTGTAGTAGAGGCAGGCGTTATGAAATAACGTGGCAAACAGAAGAGTGGTAGGGGTGCTAATAGTTCCTTGGTCAATAATAGCTGACGTATGAAATTGTGCGGTTTAGAAAGAATTTATTTGGTTATCCGGTGTTAGGCTTTCCTATTTTCGTGCAATTTGTTAAAGGTCTAAGGTATACCTGAATATAAAGATACTGTCCTTTCGTGTTTCTTGGTTTGCATGCGTGTTCACTGATTTCGCTCTTTCCTTATCAAAGGGAAATCTAAAAATATTAGAACTTGCATGCTAGCCCATAAATTAACCGTCTTACTTTCATTACCTTGCCATTGTACGGTTCCAAATCTTTTATCAATATACTTAACATTTTGATAATAATAAATATCAAGGTTGTCTTTTATCAGCCATAGTTGGTGGCAGTCAAGAATTCTTTGCTTATACTGCTTATGTAACTGTAAAATGCCCGTTTATTATGGAAATTCGTGGCCACGGTCAACATACTCCATTCAGGTCAGGCGCTAACTCACCACCCAGTGCCAGTGGTGGCTCGACAACTATACCGAAAATAATTACTACCTCTACACGCCACTAACTACTAAATCCAATCATTCGCCCCACATTGAATGCAACAGTAGCTGCACTGCTCACCCTCTAATCGACCTTTCATAAATTCATCGACCCCAAACATAGTCTGAATTTTAAGTACGCCACTGTTACGTCAGTTACTTGGAAAATTCGGATTTTCACACAGAACCTGCATATTTTACCGTTTGATGGCAGGTTCGATATTTTCTTTTGACTAGCATAAACACGTTATGAACATTCTGAAAGGCTTTTATAATCAAATCCTATTATTACTTTTTCGTATACAAAAAGATTATTTTGAAAAGGATTTGATACACGTCTTAATCTCGTTGTTTCCATCTCAGTTTTGTTGTTGTTGGGCCACCGTTCTAAATTTTACAACGTCTTCGGCGCTTGTATATAGTTTCAGAGCTGCAAAACGCCTCATCTTTTCGTCAACAGTAGGCACCGTAGTCAGTACTACACGCCCAAACTACTTTGCCGTGTTTATTATTCGATATAGTGTTTGGGCATTGTTCTGATCCATAAATCAAAACAATGGTAATAGCAGACCTAAAGATGAAGATGGTAACTTTGTATGGATAGTTCTATTTTCAGGTGTTCCCGCCAAGCGATAAGGCACACTTTGAATACTGAGTATGCAAATATAGGCAACCATTTATGCAATTTGCTATTTCAACGTTTTTATTTTTAATTAAGAATTCATTTCGTGCACGTTCTGCGTATTTACTTTAAGAAACTCACAAATTTCTTCTGTCACTTCCGAAAATATGTCAGTTATACCATAAATAAATGTAAAATATAATGCAGGTTTACATTACATATTCAATGTTTGTAAACGAAATATCCTGTACATGTTAAAACAGTAGCAAAGATATCCTTGAAAGTTTAAACGAGGCATAAATTTTTATTCGTATGTGACTAATTTTGTTATAATAATACAGTTAATATGCTAATGAAAAGCAACAGCGTTTTTGTCAACAATAAAAGAACTTCCTTTTGCCGAAGGAATGTGGAAAGAATTATGTTCGAAATTTTAGCTGCTCGGAAAGTTGGACGATTGTCGTTGGTACAGCAAGGACGTCTTCAGACAAGGATGTTATAACAAAATCTAGACATGAATTATGTCCGAAATGTATTTTTCATGTCTAACGTATGTACGGAAAGTAATCTAACAAGGTTATTTTGATGTCTGTCTGCGTTGTGTGTTGGCAACATTATCGACGAATACCGTGAAAATAATGACGTGGTTGTTATTTTTTTTTTAAATACTTCGCTCTCAAAAAATTATGTTATCTTCAAATATGGTTAAGAAAAACTTACTTTAAGCATTGTAAATTTTTTTATCAATTCAGCAGATTTTTTCTCCAGTAAATTATTTCAATATTTGATTTACTTCCTTTATTACCGTTAACCAATTTTGGAGAAGTTTTCTATCTCCAAGGTTGTGTAGGATGTATAATAATGTATACCACGTTTTTAATTACTCAAAAATACTTTAATACATAGGTGTACAGTTTCTCCAGAGCTTTCTTTACTATTCCTCACCAGCTTTTTCTTCCATACCCTAATGTCTATCCTCCATAGATCTTCCTCGACGCTGTTCAACCATCTTCTCCGTGGTCTATCTCCTTGTTTGACCCCGTACTCCACCTTCTTAATTCCTCGATAGATTTCTCTTCCGTCTTTCCAATCTTGCCTCGCCCACCAAAACCCAAGTTCCGCACTCATATATACCATTTACTCTAATTACCGTCCTATATACCCTTCCTTTTACTTTCTTGATACAAAGCTCGACTTCATTAGTTGTCTCATCATCTCGTATTTTCGGTTTCCCTTTGTTATTATTGCCTCATTTTCTTATTCGTCCTTGCTATTTTTCTTTATCTTCACCCCTAAGTATGTAAAGCCTCGTACTCTTTCGAAAACAGATTCGTCTCCTATTATCACACATTTAGTTTTTCTTTGAATTGTGCTTATTCCAAATGTTCTTGCTTCTTTACTATTCTTCTTGCAACTCTTTTCATTTCTTTTTTGTTTTTGCAAGTATTGTTGTCGGCGAATGCTATACATCGATGCTCGTTTTTGAGTATTGTGTTTTCCATTTTGATCTTACATTTCCGCATTATCATTTCTAGAACGAGGTTGAATAATGTTGTCGTCAACGGGTCTCCTTGTCTAAGTCTTTGTGATACTTCAACCTCTTTGAATCTTGTCCCTTTCAGGGATATTTCATTTTTTGTTTTTTGAAGTGTCATTTTGACCAGGTTTATTAACTTGCTGGGTATCTTCATCTCCTTCATAGCTTGGTACCTTTGTATACTGCCTGTTTTGTCATATGTCCGTCTAAAGTCCACGAAAACTACATATAGGATGATTTTATATTCATAAGAGTTCGTTTGTTATTCTTTCAATGTGAAAATTTGGTCTATTATATATTATAAATTGCAACATGTCAAAATTTAGACCTAAATTAATTACAACAACGTCAACTTTCTCAATAAATTTTAACGTCAAAATAGCTTGATAGTTTTAACGACAATTGTATACCAGATCTGCCAACTGTAACTGTTTTGTTTAAAAATCGCATGGTGTTTCATTAATAACCTCGGACCTTTTGCTAGTAACGTCAACTATGTCAATTAATTTTAACGTCTAAACACGTTGACGATCGTGTGACATTTTTACAACAGAACTACCAACAGCCAACTTTAATAATTTCTTTTGTTCGCACGGTATTTGGCTAATAACGTAGAAACAATGTTGTAAAACACTATTTGTTCCAGTAATTGTAGTTAGATTATTTAATGTGGTGGTTGAGAAAACATGCAACTTGTAAGTTTACAAATTTGGCTATTACGTTGCATCATTATTATTAACATACCTCCAAACGAACTCGCGTCAGTGCAGAATTAGCACTGCATGATTCCGGTAACAGCATGTACATGTTTGTTTACGTCCTGGGATTCACAGGAACTTAAAAAAGTAACATGTGTTATGGAAGGAACAGATTATATTAAAATAAATTGATGGCATGGTTGACTTTCAAGGTTAGTCTTAATCAGGTGTCATACCAAAAGGTCGCCGCTCCAATATGCATTACCTAATAAATAATGAAATATATCGATTCTGACCAGCCGGCTGTATACTTCGCCGAGAATACCGCATGATCGCGTGCAAATTAATTTTTTTTTTAGGTTTATCTCAGGTTATAGAGTTCAAGAAAATGTATAAATATGTCAAAGCGCGATAAGTTATTTGATTACTCGTGTCTAGGGCAGGTTTCATTTGCAAATTAGCTAATCGTACCGGAGGGATCAAGATGTCTTGAATTCTTACTTAGAGTTTTACAGCGGCACATTTAGACCGACTGCGGTATATTTTTAGGCGAACGCAAATGTCTGCAGGTTAATTTGTCCGACTGACTGTAGGAAGGTTATAAATAATAAGCTGTATGTAAAGCAGGGGTTGGACATGTCGATGGGAGCAGGGTGGGGACGGCGGTGGGGGGTCGTTCGAGACATTAGGATGCGATGGATAAATCACCTTGTCTGGAAAGTATAATAAGAAAATGGTGAAACTGAAGCGGGAGGGGGCTGCAGCGATGACGTAATAGATCGCGTGCCATAAAACGTTTCAGGCGCCGTAGGGCCGGCTGCCTTATCGCCTCAAGATCCATCCACAAGACGCTAATTCTATGCTATACACACGTGCCTGACTTAATGTAAAGTTTAGAGCGCTTGCGCACAAATGGTGCCTGACCGAAGCTCTGCACCATAACGCATTTTGACCAGGGCTGTGATTATAACACCTCGTTGAAGTCTTTCAAGTCACAAGATGAACGCGCTATACGTGACAGTGTCCATTCCGTTACTGCTTGTGCTGGCTGGCTTCAACCACGCTCATGGACTTACGACTTTCGGCAAGACGAATAACCAAGGCACGCAACAGCCGCAAAAACCAGCTGGTACGGATTTCTCCAAATACTATTAAGAAATGATGAAGTTTTGCACGAATATGAGAATCCTGGTTCGGTATTACTTCGTCAGACCTCATCATGTTCGTCCCGCATCTGCTTCTGACTTTTTGTGTTTTTGCCTTTGTTTTTGTTTCTCCGGGTACCTTATTCCCTTTTTTTCCCGTTTGAAGGGGCTTAAGTAATTTTGGCATATGTTTCAGCACAAGCTAGGGCCTGCACAAAACAGGACGACTGTGCTATAATCAAGGGAACCACATGTATTAAGAACCAGTGTCTTTGCGGAAACAACGAAGGTCCTGCCAATGGTAGTAAATGCATTGCGCAAAAGCAAGGTGAGCATTTAAAATTTTTCATGTCGTGAAGTGTTAGTGTTGTGGTGTGTTAGTGTTACAGTCTTAGTTATCAGTAGTGATACATCGTCCAATTAGACTTCTGTGATAACATCCAAAAATTCACTTGCAAAATTGACGTCTAGTGACCACGTTAAGGAACTAAAATGCTAGATTTCAGTTACTTTAAGTTGTAAAAGTTTTCTAAAATAAAAATTATCAAGAATAATAATAAAATGCTTCAAAATACAAAACTAGAAACAAAATGTCCACTAATTCACCAACAAGGTGGACACCATCAGCACAATGAAAAAATGTTTCATTGTCAAGCTTGCTTGAAAAATGCGTCTGAATGTTTATCTTAAATTACACATTTCTCTTAAAGTGTTTTGTTTAATAACATTTATAAAACGTACAAATAAAAAGGATAAAAGAGGAAACGCCTTGACGACCGGGTATATGCAGCGACAGCTATAAAACCATGTCAATTTCATTAGACGAAAGTGGAGAAAAAAAATGTAAATTATATACACTGACCGGCAAAAAAACCGGCCATCCTGAAAAATATTGCAAAACCACTTTAAAAATTATTAAGAACCATTCACTATTGACACATGAGCAAAAAAAAGAAGACAAATAAACGCAGAATTAAATTTAATTTAACAAAATAATATAAACAGACCAAGTACGGTACTTTCTTAATTAAAACAATAAAGGAAGCTGTTGTGCTAAACAGTGTTTTTCATCATTTGATTATAAGTTTGGCAGTTAATAAACGTCTCTCAAATTGTCGCTCTGATCGAGGATGGTCGTAGTCAGCGCTATGTATATTTCCAGTATGGCCGTTTTTTTTTACCGGTTAGTGTATAAATCCTATTGTTTTTAAAGTAGACGAGTCGAAGGTGAAATTAGTCCGAATAAATAAGCCCGACCTTGCGTTTCTGCATAATTCACGAAACGTTTGTTATAGTGATGTAAAGATACTTTGTTTTTGGAAAATGCGTGGTATAATTTGACTAGTAATTGTTTTTTTATTTAAAGAACCATTTACTGTTAACACAGGATGTACAAATTAACTAAAAAATAAACAAGTAAATACAATCACTAGTTAAAAAATAATTTTTAAGGTGGTTTAGTGAAATATTTCAAGGTGGCCGTTTTTTTTGTCGGTCAGTGTATATAATTTTTAAGATATTTTGGAAGTACAAAAATGTATTCCTAAAATAATCGTTCTTTAAATAATTTTGGAATTTATGATTTTGTTATTATACTGACAAGTTTTAAATGAGTTGAGTATACTTTTGATGTCCAAAGTCAAGTAGTCAGTGGTGAATAATTTAAGATTTGTTGATACTCAATATAGTAAGTTCAGTTGTTTTAGAACTGTATAAAGTTTGACCATATAAAGTGGTGAAGCTTAATTAATTTTGGCCACCTAAAATTTTAAAAATTTTTATTTTTATAATATTCAAGTAGTTGCCGGATGTTTTAATTTGTACATATTTTTTGCCTTTTCATGTTTTCCTAGTGTTTCACAGCTTGTAGATTGTGAAATTCCAAGTACCCGATTTCTGTCCGTTTATCTGTTATGGTCGGTCATATCTCTGCGGGTCACCGGCCCTCAAAAATTTTTATACAACTCGGAGGCTGCGCTTAAAATTAATAGAAGTTTAATGGTGACAATGACCTTATAATAACTTTGTTAATCACAACATGTTTAATACCCAGTCTGTGTTGTCGCAAAGACTAATCAAGATTTGCCTATTCAACAACCCTCTCAAAAATATTATTGAGAATCTCATGTGAAATATACGTTATGGCATGCTACTCGATTTGTAGTTTAATAATTTGGTTAGAATTAGTTCCATTATACATAACAAAATTAATATTATGTATATGTACTTCAGTAACATTTTTTTTTATTTACTCAATAAAATTATTTAAGATAAAAATTAAATACATATTACTAAAGCACAAATATTGTTGCATGTCGAAGCACATTTTTTAACAAACATTTACACAAATGAAACATAATGTCACTTCATACATTTCAAAATTGACTTAAAAAAAGATGACGTCATCCAGGTGACAGACGGAAGCGGGAGAACCAGCTAAAGAAACGTTGTAACGGCTACTTTCATATTTCTTCGACGTTTCATGACCCCTCAGGTTTCCCCTTTTCCGTTTGTCTGTCATCGGTCTGTATATCTGTATCGATATTTATTGTACAGATAAACCTCCGAAACCACTGGAGTGATTCTTATGAAATTTTATGTGCATTGCAGGAATACCGTAGGTGAAACGCTAACCAAAATTTGTCTGGTTATACCCACCAACAATTTGATAACGTCATCGTACTCCTATTCTTGTGGTTTATGAATTCACCTTAATTCTTTACACTGGCTCTTTGGTAAAAAATAAGAATTGTATAAAAATATGTGAATATGCTGTGAAATCTTATAAACCCTTTAAGGTTATCGTTCACAATTTATCTGTTTATTTCCTCCAAAAACTTAACGAGGTCATCTCAAAATTTTGATGAATAAATCTAATCTAAAATGTTATGACTTATGAATCAATAATTGTGGTTTATCAGTTCATTCGTATTCTTTAGAATTTATTTGCGCAATCTTACGATAATTTTTGATAGAGTTAAATTGTTATGCAATCGACGTGGTAGAACAAGTACAATCAATAATTATTAGCAAGTATTTCTTTAATGTAACCACGCTTAATGCATTCGCCGTGGTCGCAGTTATTTTACACATATATAATTCTTATTTACTCTTTTTCGTTTTTTAATAAACCAAAATCACCGTTTAATGTCAAACGCCACGTTTGTAATTTTTTCGTCGACCCCACGTCGTGATTGTTGATTTTAAAATATAAATAATTTCCCTTTTCCCGTATTTACCGTTGATATAACATGTAAATTCATCAGAAAAAGAAAAACACATTTTCGCTTATAATTCCAGATGTTGCGTACATGCCGAGTCAATTTGCGCATCGCATTTGGGCAAGTTTTTCATGTCAAACTTTAATAGAAATTGTTTATTTAAAAGTTCCTGACCGCCGACAGTGGCGATCAATTTTTCTTGACATAATTTCGATATTTTTGTAAACCTGAAAACGACAGTTCAAGGCCAGGTTGACAGAATATGTTGCAGCCGTACGAGTTGGATAAACGTGGAAGGAAATAATTACTGAATAAAAAACGTATGCGATTGTGGAGCTTGTTTTATCGATTCAAGTTCCCGCGAGTACGGTTTTGACAAAAATAGTGTTAATAGTGTCGAAAAAATTCTTATTTGGGCGTAACACGCTAAGTGATTTGGCTTTTCGGCGGAAAATGCTGGAGTAACGAGTTTATTTAAAAATACTCGAGATAAGTCAAAAAATTTACGAGCAGCTTAATTCTAATAGATACAACTTAATATAAACACGCACAACAATAGACCCCTAATAACATAAATTATATTGGATAAAGCTTCCGCAAGCACGAAACGCTAAACGAGATGGTCTAAACAGGTCGGGAAAGTGTGGCTTGTAATACGATATAACAGTTCGATGAAGAAGCGGCTACATTATATGGTTATATTTTCATTTTATTTGTATCTATCTTATTCTTTTGTTGGGTTTATTTATTTTTGATATTTATTTTTGGTGGAGGCGCCGGGTCATGTTGGATTTACAGTTATTTTTAATTTAATTTAAGTTACAATTAAAGCAATATGGTTAGTTATAGAAACGTATTATTTATTGGCACCATTATTTATTAATGTGTTTTCTTGATTTAATGTCACAAGTGTGTTTTTAATTTAATTATTATGGTGGAGGCGCCGGGTTATCAACAATGTTTAAGGACATTTAAACGTGTATCTAGTTTAATGTGATGCATCACTGTACGTAAATTAACTTCTTCAAAAGTTTTGTTTGCATAAATGCTCGTCGTAATGTAAACAGATTATACTCGAATGATTGATTTAAATAAAATTTAAAATAAAATCCAATTTACAATTGCAACAAATGTAAAGCCATTACTATGCGCACAAATTCGCCCACATTTTAGTGGTTATTAAAACCCCGTGAGTTGTTCAGAAATGCGTATAAATTTTTACCCCTAAATTAATTTTTTACATTTTTTTATGTAGTTTATTTTTTTGCAAGTATTTCACTTCACGTACATTCAATACTTCTGAAAGACATCTTAATATATACGGATAAACTTGTAACTTTGATCCTTTTGTTAATTAGGGACCAAAACAAACTCTCTGAATTGTCTTTTCGCACGTTCAATTTCCGTACCGTCAATATTTTTTTTCAGGAATGAAATTTCTACATTTTAAAAGATTAAAAACGAGATAGAAGTTTTAAATTAGGACGTTGTATGTAAATATTGGCTTTTCTTTTACCTTCATGCTTTTATTAGTTAACGTGCGATTTTTCGGTGACAAATTTACGATTTATTTTAATAAACACTAAGGCGACAAATTAATATTCACGTACTTAATTTAGGCCATGAATTATACATTAATGGCGTACATTGAACCGTTGTACTAAAAATAATTATTGATCAAATTTATATTTCAGGACCAAACCACTTATGCGAAAAAGACGCTGACTGCGTTGATGATGCTCACTGTCTTTCACCACCGACAAACAAAAGCAAAACCCTTAGACCAACCGACAAAGTATGCGTATGCGATGAAGGAGTACCGGAGACACAACAAGGAACTTGTGGAGGTAAAAAAAAAATTGTAGATAATCATGTCAATGCGGTAAATCGCACAAATTTTTTCAATACTTCTAGTCTTCGTAATACCCAACACTAAACATTAATATGATCAGAAATATATTTATCATTACGTATATTAATAATTCTCTTTTCTTCGCACTGAAATAACTTAGCTACTGCTTGTTTATTGAAAACACACAACATAAATTTTATTTTTTTTTTATATTTGCTGCTACACTTGGGAGCATCAATGTTTCTTACAGAGATTAATTAATTCTTAAAATTTGCAACTTTTTGGTTCCTTGATAGATTTCTTTATCGTTATATGTTTTGTTTGCTTATTATTTAACTTTATTGGAGTTTTAACTCCTTTCTTTTCGTATTATAAAACACGTATACGATGTGCGCCGGAATAGGATGTCAAGTTCGACACCGGCACCAGTCTGAACAAATGTCATCACGACGGGCTGGATCGCCGGGACTCAGTAGCGGGTGATAATCACTGAATTTAATCGTCACTTATTCTACAAATACAATTACCGAAAACGTAATTAGTAAAGGGTATTAACAGCGGAGTGCAACGAAGCGATGTTATTCTATTCTTAAATAAACGAAATGCAGCCCGTACCGAGTTTGACCTTGCCTAACCCTACGGTAATCCGCTGTATATTATTATAATAAACCACAATTGAGAATGCATGGATATTTATTTGAATTAACCCAATCATAGTTATTAATCATCATTTTGTGAAAAATTTACAAATGCAACATATTTTGGTATTTTGTTGAACAAATAAGTCTAAAGACTGAATTTTCGACGAAGACACCCTTGTGTCCTTTGGGTAGAAGTCAAGAAGTGCATGGTTGCAGTTGAGTTTTGGGTTACCCAGATATACTCAACTATGCACCTAAATCGTCTCGGGTTTTTAAAAGTAGACAATATTGGTTAATTTTGTTGTTTATGACTGTCACTTAAGTCATTTGAAAAAATATCTTTGAATATGTGTATGATGATTATTAGCTCAAAGTGAATTAAACAGTTTGATCTTTTAAAATTTTTATCGGCCTTGGCCATTTGAAATTTGTTTTCTGAAATTCCAGCAAGTATTATTTTGTTTTCCCATGGCGCAGCGACCCAATATCTCTCAACTCAGATATTCTCACACTGAGAAAAATAATTTGTTTGAGCGAAGTTTAAGTTGCAAAAATTACAATAATGTTCCGGTGACAACTAATATCATGCATTCAAGCATTGAAAGATATTTTACAAATATTTATTACTTGCTGCCCTCGTATTAGCCACCGCAGTAATAAAAACCGATTTTTCCACGTTAAATAAAAAGTCTTGTTTGCCTGCTTTCCATGACGTGGCGCGCGATATAGCTTCCCAAATTAGAAACCATATGTTCCGTGTTTCTCAATCATTATCCCTTATTGCCGGATTTTTTCGATTAAACGAAAGCAAAATCAAAGATTGCACGACTAAGTTTTATAGCCGTGTTATTTAAATTTCCTCCGTTTGCACATTTCCTTTTCCGACTTTCGTTCGCTAAAGTAGTGTGGTGATATATACTTTAAAAATGTACATGTTGGTCTCGATATCGATTCGCAGTACAAGTACTAATTTAAGTTTAATTATATGCAATCTTCAAATCCAAAGTTCTCTGCTTTGCCGCGGAATTTTCTGCGATAACTGCACATTAATTAAATCAACTGCAGTATATGCAGTAGTTTATTATTTATCGTTGAAAAATTAATACAGTGTAGATCTTATCAAAGGTATTGTTGAGGTTCTTAAAAAGGGTATGCTACGACTATAGCGTAAGAAATTTTTATTTTTTAGTTAAGAGAGTAACATTCAATCGCTCGAAAAGGGAACACTGTTGTATACAGTTACTGTAACAATTAGTTGATGGCGTGCTACTTCGTTTAAGTATGCTTTCCGACGGGTTAATATTTGCAAATAAATTGCTTTTGTGACCGACTTATTTCACTGGCTGTTTCGATTACTGAAGAAGCATGATACAACAAAATTTAGTTTATAAAATCAAAATGCACTTTGTTATCGGGATCGCGTGAAAACTTTTTATCATGTACTCATCCAATCAAACCCTATCGCGTTTCGCCAACAAGGTTGGCATCATCGACACTACTAAGATTTTTTGCACTACGACGTAATTAATAATGAAATAATCAAAATTCTACGTTCTTCGAGATAAAGCAAATCATTCTACGTTCTAGTTATTGTTATTTCCAATTTGCGAATTAGAAAAGTATCATCAAGTAGCCGTATTTCAGTAATTGAATGAATAAAACGATATCGACTAAAGTCCTGAAGGCGTTTTTTCTTTGCAGGAAATTTTATAAGAATAACGGGCTCATATATTTTAACCTGATTGCCACTTAACTAAGCGTTTGTGATAGCGTGTTAAGTGTTGCGAGTTGATTGCTGATATGATTTCTTCCTTGATAAGCTTTCGGGTAAGAAAGTTATAAAATCAGGGGCATAAATTGTATACATATTTAGTGGTTTTTTGACCACATAGTTTTTGTATATTAATAAATATCGTGTAGGTGGCTAATAATATAAAGATGGTGAAAATAGGATTACTATTGAGTTAATATAGCGATAAACCGTTTTGCTTAAATATATAGGTTTATTTCGTTATACAGTACTGATTTATTTTGACTCTAGTATGGTAATATATCTCCTTTTATTTTTAAAAGAAAAGTTGAAAATTGCTATAAAACCAAGAAATACATATTAACCCCATTCTTAGTATTAGTTTTCAACACGATATTTTTTAAAAACACGTTAACTTGCGCTTGGTCAAATTTCAGCCAAAAATGGGGTGTTTGATACTAACCTTTAGCAGAGGCGTTTTTTAATCTGAAGGAAAAATAAAACAATTTAGAATGTGAATGTGTACATGTAGAATGTGGTCGTGGGGAAATATAGTACATAGTTTACACTTGTTTGCGTGATCTAAGTATGAAAAATGAGTGCCATGTTCATACGAAATACTATTAGACATTATCGTTGGTTTTGTATAAAGAAGAAAATGCAATAAATTATTACCACATTAATGAGGTAACACTCGTTGCGTTATAACAAATTTCATATATTCAGCTTTCATCTGTGTAACGGCGTTTTTGTTTAACGTTCAATCGTGTTTCAAATTTAAGAAAAATTAAAACTATTAAAAATTATATTACAGACCACCAGAATAATCGTTGCCTAATTTTAATTTTTTTTTATATTCGTTTGAAAAACAGGTTTATTTCAGTAAGACAATATAGAGATTACTATATATAGTATGTAATACGATAATACATTTTATTTTATCGGTACATGTTTGTTCTGAAACAGTGTTTATTGTTAGAAGAAATATCTCTTCAATAAAAGCGCAAATTAAAAAACTGATATTTGTTGTTCGAAGTACACACTGGATACAAAAGGTCATTCTAATAATGCACCTATTATCATATTAGTTTCTAAAGATACTTTGCACATTATTGATCCTGGCAGAGACGAAATTACGTAGTACTTTCTACATCACGAGTGTCATTGGTATAAATAATGGACAGCAAAGGATTCAGTGTGCAACCTTGTATTTTTTTCTTTTATATTCTAACTTCCTTTTTTTAATGGGATATTGGTCAATAATCAATATAGTCTGTTTCAAATTCTTTGTTACACATAACGTAGATTACATTTTTAATATTTCGTATGTAATTGTGTAATTGCACTCTATGCACAGGCGCTGAAATCAATACGTACCAGAGGATTCCTAAACGTGTAACTTTTGAGCTATTATTTACAATTACTTAAGTAATGCCATTAATTAATTAAATGATTTTGAAACTGAGAGTTTCAGTTTGAACGTTAATCAAATAAAGTTGATTTAAAGAATATTTCATGATGTGACTTGAAATGGATAACACTTATAATATGTGATTTACTTGTGAATGTTACGACGGTTAACAGGGAGGCATTTAAGCCCTTCCACAATTTGTGTAAGTATATTTAACTTTCAGTTCTCTGAAATCTATGCATGCGATAAAATAAACTGCGCTTAATTAAATGGAGATAAATTATGTGATGTTGTATGAAACTCTGGTAATATTTAATTGGGTATAATAGTTTGGAGTTAACTGTATGCTCGACTCTGCAAAACAAACAGGAAAAATGTTCATGTTTTACATGGCCACATGGGATGGTCAAATTTTATTTCATGAGACAATATTGTGCTTATTGAGAACAGGTGACACTATTATTTTGCCATTCAACTTTTACGAAATTGCGCTTCCGCAATATATTTATTAATAATTAATAAATAAATGAAATTGAGTATGATAAAACCTGACAAATATACAAGTATCAATGATGTTTTTGATGTTATGAAGTATTTTTCATGAAACATATTCAACGTGATGCGAAAATTTTTGTTCTTTTTTCGTATTGTAACGAATTCTTTTTTTTTTAGGGGAATCGAATTTCCTGGTGCTGCCTGGATTAGTAATGATCATCACGAGCTTGTCAAGGACACTGTACTAAATTCCGGAAGTACTTGAAGACATCAACCAACCAATTTTCACTTGAAAGTTACCAATTACTTTAATTAAACCATGTTACAGTGCATGAATTAAAATAATTTTCACAATTTTTGCAAATTTTGTTTGGAAAATTATAATTTGAGAAAATATGTAAAGTGTCAAACTCGGTTGTCAGCTATATAATATGTATCAGAGTTGCACTTTTAGTCAGTTTATGGATGTTAAATGTGTAGTTGTTTTAAAGAATTTATTGTAAATTTCAATTCGGTAAAACGATGGTTACAAATAGAGAGATTCTGGTGCATCATGACAGTACAATTGTAGAAAATTAGTGTTTTGAATGTGTTATTTTTTTACACGAGCACTCTCTTAAACATCATTACACATGTAGAGGACTAAACGGAATTAGGGCACATATGTATTTTATTAATCACCAAAAATAATAAAAATATACATAAATAAATTACAATACAAATAAAGTAAATTTATTGTAATTTTATATGTCTTACATTATATTCCAATATTTATAAATAAATTATAATAAAATTACTTAAGTCATCCCCTTATTGCGTCGTAATTCGTCAAATACTTGGCTGTCCAACGGTATGTATTTCTTTAATAAATTATTTATACTTAATTTCATTTATTATTGTAATTTTCCAACGTATTTTTCATAGAAAAATGCCCAATTTCGGTTAGCAACACACTTTCCACTATTGGCTTAAACGTTATTCACTTAATTTGAAAATAAAGTGCACGTTTATCAGCAGACTCATTTTTTTCAAATGTAACACCTTATATTTTTGGAGATATCCTTTTTTAGACAATAAATAAAAATGGTGTCAAAGTATCACATAATTTATTGCCACTGTACTGTGTTAATTCTGATAAATGTTGGAGTCCATATTTAAAAATCCCATAAATATGTAGTTCTCATATATGTATATGTGTTAATGTATGCAAATAATATATTATTATATAAATGGCTACATTGTCTCTGAAAACTACATTGTCTGTGCTTCTGTTAAGTTGTTTACAATGCAACTTTTCCTGTTTTTAAGAGAGGTAATGGAGTTTACTCGAAATGAAAAGAAATTAAGGTTTGAAAAAAAATATATAGCAGTGACATTAATTAATAAAAAACGAACTCTAACAAAAGAGATCACATCATCAATGGTGCTAACTATTAGTCCACTTAGTCAAATATGTGGCATTTAGTGAATATTAGAAACAGAAATATATCTCTCTGTCTCTGTTCATTTTCGGGTTTTTGACCGTTGTTACCATGTTTGAGATCCTGTAGATTTTCATACGTTAAAGAAATAACTACTCTCGAACTACTTTTGTCTAGCAATAGGTTAAGTTCTTTTCTTTCCATTTCTAGGTCAGGTAATTTGCCATGCTTTTTAAAGTAACAATTAATAGATCTAGTCACTTTACACAAAAGTGAATTTAGGCGATATCTGTGAGCAGCAAGTTGAACTAACATCGTATTAAGAAGTATTTGTTCTTTGAGTAGTTCTCTTAAATTTTAGGACCATTTCATTTTTAAAAATTATGTTTTTATACATTTTAAATACTTATTTATTTTTTCTTGTTTTTACACTTTTATTGATTTTACATGATATGGAAAAAAATACCCCATAAAATTGTGCCTGATTTTCGAACGAAACAATATTTTTTTATCTAAGAATAGTAAGTTTACATAGAGATGTTCATTTTCTGGCGGTAAAATGTAAACAAAACAAGTCGCAAAAATAAGACAAAAAAAGACTGTAGCTCAGAAAAGAAGTCTCACAGATATTTATGATTATGATGCTTACATACACTTTATTAAAGAATTTTATTCTTATTGACAATAATTCATTTTAAAAAAGAAAATCATGTCTTTTTTTATATTTCTGTACAAAAATTGAGTCATTAAACTCCAAGAAATTATCTGATGTCACAGTTCATTGTCAAGAACCAGAAGCTACTATGTAAAACTCACGTTTTAATACCTAAAAAATTTTCATTTGCGATAGATGTCCTTAATTTTGCGACATTGAGAAAGAAGAACATCGCTTCGATATTCCAAGCACTTTATCTCAGTTTTTCTTTTAATATTAGTAAATAAAAACGTGTGTGGTAAATCACAAACGAATGAATATTTTAATATTGTTATTATTGGCTAACTAAACTTGTTAACTTTGTATCAGTGGCGACTAGACGCACGGTTTCCGTGGCAACGGTGTAAACAAAACGTCTAAATAAGTCATGCTTTAGTCTTCGTCTCCGATTTTACCAGCACTTCTTTAGATGTAAGTGGATGTAAGTCTTAATACATTTTATACAAGTGGAGCGAGATAAAAAAATTAGTTTTGCTAATTATTTCACAAATTTCTGGATAATTTTTTAAATATTGAAAATTACTATTTTGCTATGTCCAGTGTGCTTGTAGACGTTGTAATTTTGGGGGGACACGTGCCCTGTGCCCCCTGACACCAGCCGCCCCTGGGTTCATCAATCATCACTCCACGAAATTGTTACTATAGTAGATACGAGTAGTATTTCTCTATTGAGTCGATATTTTGTAAACAGTGGTCACATTAAAAATAAAGGTAGAAGAATTGTTTGTGGGAGTTTGTAAAACAGAATTTAAATTGGTCCGGTTATAACGGCCGTAAGATAATTCTGTATGGTAAAATCATAAACGCACGATTTATCTCGTTTCCTAACAGCATAGTGGTGTTAATTAATTAAAGACAGGAAACCATCCGACATTAATCAGTAATAACGTGTGGTCTTCATTTGGGTATTCACTTGAACTCTCTTGCGAAAATTTGCGAAACTCTAATTAATTTAATATTTTATTTGAGTTAAACTGTCCTCGTTATGATGGAAAGGAGCGTGTTAAATATTACAAAAATGTTGGAACAGCAGCAAACCTGGATCATTGGTAACGAATCGTGAGAATCCAGCGAAGCATGGCTATTATATTAGGTTACTTAACGAACACCAGATGAACAAATGAGTCAGTAAACTGAAAATATTTTTATTACACTTTGTTCTCGTGATGAGATTTTTAACTTGATTTAAAAAAAAATACAATCCGATTTTTCAAGATTATTGAGGCGATTTCGGCGTGCTCGTATTAGAAAATTTTAATTAAAACGCAACACGTTTGCGTTGTAGTAAACGGGCTGTTTGTGCAATTTGCCCGATTTCGTCCCTGTATTGATTACCTGACGACAATTAAAACTCGAATTTTTGCAGGTCCGGAATAACGGAACGACCGACAAGTCGCAAAGGCACTGTGTGCGGGACAAATACATGGCTAATTGGGAATATTAAAACGGAGTTTTATCCCTGTTTCTGTTTAGAGAATCAAAGTAGTTGCTTGAAATTAGGTTCCAGTAGATTTTGAACGAATTTTATCGAATTATGTCACCTGATGGAGAAATGCAGGAGTGGGATTCATTCCTGACGCGGCCAAATTAGGATTTGAATAGGCAACCACAAACCGGAGGCTAACTATTTCTATAGTGTAATTTGGGTTCGGGGATTACGTGCAGCGATGATAGACTCGTTGATTTTAAAGGAATGTCATCGGAATTTAATAATTCTGTCATCAGCCAACATCTCTACTGTTAGCATTGCTTGATGATGTATATTGTCCTCTACTGTTGAGAAGTGCAAATACGCGTCAAAACAATACCAAGGCGGTTCCTAGATATGTGATGAATAAGGTAATAATACATAATTTTTGCATTTTTTTTTTATAAGTTTTAAGACTCAGTGTCAGTGTAATAATTTGTTAACTGACAGTATAATAATAAATTTATAATATATTTGACATTATCGAAAAGTGCATTTCCTGTGAACAGAGAAAATTGGTGTAAAAAACCGATTTGATTTTTTTATTCTGAAGATTTCAGTCATAAATAAGATTATGTTATTACTTTCTATGTGCAGAATGCCCGATGCTAAATTTGATTAATCATCCCCACCAACAATTTGATGACGTCATTTCAAGGAATTCTATGTTTACATGATTTAAATGTTATACATAAAGTAATAAACTCCTATACTTGTGGTGTGAATCCGCTTTGAGTTTTTTCCTTGCCGTCTAAATTTTTGCAAAAAATTAACACAGTATAATATTTACCATTAGCGTACAATATCTAGACCGTGGCTCAGTGGGTGACAGCTAGAAATGCGGAGCGGCGGTCCCAGGTTCGAGGCCAAACTTGGTCGTTTGTTTTTTTTCTCTTTTTCTCACGCGGTGTATATTATCTATGTTTATGACGTCATAACAAATTTATATGATACTGAACAAATAAAACTAATTTGTTTTTTTTGAGTTCTTTATTAATTTATTGATATTTAGAGACCTTCGAACATATAAGAGTTTTTTCGCATTTCTCAGAATTGCATTCGAAATGGATGGATGTTAAAAATTATCACCCGTAAAAGACAAACGACTGATTTTTACTCGTTAGTTTATCGTTAAAATTGTGTTGAAAATTGGTAATTGATTGTTAGATCATTTGATTTTGATTAGAATTGTATCTACTTTTATTTGGTTATATTATTAAGCTATACCTACATTCTGAATTAGTTCTAGTTCTTTCCTGTAATTGGGTGAATATTATTACCTGTTGGAAATAAACAGATTATTATTATTTTCAACTTATTAGTATTAATTTGATCTTTTAGTTAAATACTATTATTTTTGAGAGCTTCTGTCACACCGGTAAGCAAGTTGACATTTTTGTTCATCGTACTAACTTGTGTTTTATTTTAGATATTTTCATTTTATTTCTCTGTCTTTTTTGCACGTATCGGTTTGTTAAATCAAGGTAGTTGATTTATTGACTGGAATTTTAGTGCGTTTTTAGTTCAGTTGTGAAAATTGCAGATAGTCAGCAGGATGATATAAAGTTTGTACGGTATTAGAGCAGGTGAGCTTCACAGATTCTATCTCACCTGCCTAAATTAGCTAATAAACAGTGTTCTTTGAAAAGTTAGCTACTTTATCCCTTGAGTAAGCTTAACTGATTGTATCGCAGTTCGACCAAAGCGGGAACAGAGTACACATCCCAAGTTTACCAACGTAGTTTACATAGCGGTAACTTCTACTTTGCGTAAAGCACCTAGAGCACCTTTTGCATACGAGAATAAGATCTACAAGTCTGAAAGTATTCAACTCTCTATGACCGAGTTGAACAATTCTGTTTCGAAATGGAAATAAAGTTAAGGGCAGCTTACTCGTCACTAATGAATCAGCAAAGCGAGATAAAATAATGTTTCTGGTCTTCCGACAAGAAGGAAGTTTCTTTAAAGAGAAAAAGGAGCCGCGGGTGTTTGCAACCATTTAAGGGCCAATTACTACAAGTTAAGTCTCACATTCACCTAAAACGAGCTCAATGTTTAGTTTACATAAATATTGAAAGTGTAATCTGGACAAGGGCGCGCTTCAGAGGAGCCCCAGGCAGCTTAATACCTCCGTTACGAGCACTACTTCTAACTAACTTTACCAAATTACCAATGAAACCAGATTTCAAGTCGTTTAAAGTTAATTATTATTTGAAAGTTTCACTCGGATGTGATAAATTTTTTAATATAAATTTTATAGACAGCATTTCTCCTAAATAAATTGCACTTTCCCAACATTATTTTAATCAGGAAAAGCCCCATTAATTTAATACCCTTTATTATTCTACTTCTAAAGTTACCTTTTTTTCAAATTTATAGCAGATGGCTAATTTAAAGATAATCCAACTTGCACATTTCTCAAACTCCAGTTTCCAAGATCAAACATTTATCACATTTGCCATTCCTATAATAACTTCTAAAAACTGTATTACACGATTTACAACTGCACGTTCATCTCGTCCATCATTAATTCTAACTACAATAAAAGCGCCCATTTGTCACAATTGGGACTCTCGTACAACCCAAAACTAATTTAACAACTAAAGAATTCTATCCCATAAATTTGTTTTATCGTATTATTAATTATTTGCTAATTACCACATAAATACACCGTAAATAACGTTTAAAATAACGAGTTACGACTTTTTTTAATAACCCACGTATTTTTTACGTCTTTTAGTAGTAATTATCCATTTGATGCTAGGATAGAGTAACTTCTGGTGGACAACTTTTCAGAAAATGACGTAACAAAGACATGTTTACTTAATTGTAAACGAAGAAAAGAGAATCATGCAAATTGGCTTCCCGAGCAAAGTGTGGTCCAAATCCGCTCCAAAATATTAGCGAAATCATACGAAGTATAATGAGGGCTAATTATTGGTAGTGAGGATGATTAGCCAAATTTTGGTTAGCACTAATATACGTACAAAATTTGAGAACAATCGGTCCGGTAGTTTTGGAGAATATCTGTCTAATAAAAATCAACACAGACAGACAGACGAAAACGGAGATCACTTTTTTCGTACTCTAGGGGTCATGAAAAATGGAGAAAATAAATGACAAGTTGCCTAATACACTCGAAATAGTAATATTTAAACGTTAGTGAGGTGTATTTATAAAAATAGACAGATTTTATCTATAGATATTTTAAAATTTTAGTCGAGTTAATTTATGTTTTAAACAAACTGAAAACGGCAAAATTGACATTATGCTGGTGACACAAAATGTTTTTAATAATTAATGTTAATAAAACCTTTCAGTTTAGCGAACTATTCTCGTTATCATAATAACCTTCACAAAATCTCAAAAATTAATATTTAACGTATAATTTAACTTAATTTAATTCAGCTTTAATTTAAAGTTAATTAAACATTATAATTGCTACAATTCATAAAGATTGTGGCCGTTTAAATATGTTGTTTTTTACTGTGTAATTTCCATGCATTTAAGGTTATTTTAATTTTGTTAATTTATTTGTTTTAGAACGAAAGACTTTCCGGGAACAGCAAGCGATGGTGCTACATTTAATCTGTCTACTTCTCATACTTCATTTGTCAACTGTCGTAGGTGAACGTAGCGACCGGTAAACACATGCCAGGCTGAAACTTAACAGAACGGTTTTAAAAGCCCATGGAATTGCAATTACCTCATCTAAAAGGCGATGTGAACTTCTGGTATGTTATTTGCGTTAGGGTACGTTCAATGCAGAGAAAACCCCTAATCCGCGTTGGTTCGAACCTGGGTGGTTCAAATGAATGTTAATTTGGATTCAGAAGATGAAGGTGATTGATAAGGTCGACTCTTAGTAATGAATTAGAAGTGAGGTTATAGACGTACATTTATGTCAGAGATCCCGGTCTTGCAGCATTATTAACAACCACTCTAATCCAACGAATAATGGTTTACTTTAAACGTCTCAAAACCGATATATAACTCATCGCTACTTAAAAATTTATGTGTAAACAAGAATTACGAGGAAATTTGATCTTTGGAAACAGGAGAAATTCAAGCTGTATTCATCATTATCCGAAGCACTAATAAATTTATAACCTGTCGACGCACTCGCTGTAATGAATGTGCATCCGAAGAAATTAATTTTGCGTTTTTTCTTGAGTATTTAATTATAATAGACACTCATTTTATCAAAGTTTCAATTTTGCAACCGCACAGAATTGATTTTCCGTTGCTCAAGACTTTCTCAATTTTTTACATTTTTGTCAAAGTGCGGAATTCTGAATTCTTTTCAAGAATTTGTTTCAACCCATTCGCAGAAAGTTAATTGGCAAGATGATACATTTTTATGTGGAATATTGTATTTGTTTTACCAAGATTTCGACTACGACAACTTGATAATCGACCACTAGTATCTAATCTAATATTTAATCTATAGGGCGTTGTGCCGTTGCAATAACTTTTGAATGATTTTTTTTTAATTTTAAATAAAATCACTGTTTATTTAAACGAGATTGTTGTTTTACATCCCATTAACAGAATATCACCATTTTATAACGAGTTATTTTGTTTTTAAATTACATTGTTTCTTACATTTAAAAAAATTACGTATTTTTAGTTTGTTGCCTGTTGCTCTTCAGCAAAAATCACACAAGGTAAATATTGTTTTTACAAAAAACACAGTTTTTAAATTAGCATATGACACAATTGAGGCAAAAATGTAAATTTTTAATTACAAATCAAACAGAACGGAATAAATTAGAAAAAAAATATACGTAATAAATTGTCAATCAAATTATCATATATTTAACAAGGACTATTAGTTGTGTAATTAATAATAATTTCTGGCACTTACCTGCTCTTTTCCGTGTAGAAGTATTTTCTCTTGACTCGAAAATACTAAAATTGAAATATTATACTTACAAATGTATGTAATACGCTTTTTAATTATCCACTCTGCCCACCTTTTAAAAAAGCATTAAGCATAACTTACCGGCGCATCCACCATAATGAACGTATTCTTCGGCAAGATAATTTTGCAGTTTATTTTTGTTTCCTTAATATTGATTAATTAATGAAGCTTTCATAAACTGTTTTATTATTCAAGTTCTGGCACTCATATTTTACGAAATTTATGATGAAAAGCTAATTAAATGAGGTTAATATTTAACGTGGTGAATATGTTGTTCTCCTTAGGTGCGATATGCGGAGAAATACATAAATAAAATCATTATCTCTTATTACACCCTTATTGAAATCAACTGTTTGTTGCTTTGTGTAAATGTGGAGAGAAAGCAAGACGATTTATCAATTTTCGAGAGCTATATTTTTAAATGTAGCATTTACATTTTAATGTCGCAAAGGTAACTAAATAAAAGAGCCGTTATTTCTTTTATAGACATGTAAATTTTTAAAAGAGAAAATAAACAATAAAAATATTAAAAGCAAGTCTGACAAGAAAAATCGTGATAAGACCTGAACAATTCCTTCTGGTATAATTTAATCTCTTTTTACCGATACACAATGAAGTTATTTAGTATTCAGTCTCATAGAATGAATGTTGCCGCCATACCAGTAAAACACGTTGAGGTTCTATATATATTTTTTTTTATGCACGTTTTCGTTACAAAGGAGTAAATGTTGTCAGATATTTCTTTCGATTGGTGGCTTGTAAAATTATTTACTTTGGGGATATGTTATGTTTAAATTTGAACAGAGCAGTAATGTTGAGATGTGAACACGGCTCGCTTCGCTCGTTGAAAGAATCTTAATGTCGCTCTGTTGTTTCGCTTTTAACATCTATTCAGTTTCATTGAAACGAAATACCAGTAAAACACATCAAGTACCTATATATCTTTATTATATACACTTTCGATACAAGGTTTATATGTATATATATATATATGCAAATACAGTTTCGGTTTTATAGTTCCTCTTATCTTAAAACATAAGTTATTTTGTAGCGAAACATCGTATCTACAACAATTTACTACTGATTATTCTCGTAACAGAAATCACAAAATAATATGTATATCCATAATAAAATAATCAATTTGGCACATTGACAAAGTAAGACACGCCCCACTAACTCAAATTAGGTACTTACAGAGTGTAGCTACTACAAACCTATCATTATATAACAATCGTAACTATGAAAACAATCTTATATACAACAAATGAAAATAAATAGAATTCTTAATATCAGTACCTCACTAAAATCTCTAATACCCTGTCAGTTTTAAAGTACAGAAGAACGGGTAAGATAAGGCATTCACAAAAACAGCTCGGTTAATCGAAGCAACAAAGTTAAGAGCGGTAAGGCAATGTCTACAGATCGTGTGTCTCAGCCTGATAATTTCAAAAGCACTACCAACGACGAAAAACTGAGGTCACGACCGACACATCTTCCACTTATTATTTTCAGTCGCCTCAGACGATCTGATAAAAGCAAAGCTTCGAATATCGTTTGGCAGGATTGGTTTAGCTGAGACACCTGGTATAAAATTCCATCCCAGAGCAATTTCACTTATCGAAAAAAAAAAGAAACAAAGATAAAACTATATGTAAGTACTTTGCATAAATTGCGTTCAATGAAACGTCCACAGCAAGAATTATATTTGTGATAAACATTTATAACCTGTCGCTGGTTTTGTTCGATTTGTGCACGACAAAATACAACATGTAAACTGTCAGAGTCACCCCCGGCCATAAAAGAGATGTTTTATGCGTTGCATAATCTATTTGTGGTTCAGAGTCTAGTTACATTGACACTACGTGCACAAGAACTGTCATCATAAAAACACTATATAAACTTTTAATGATTTTAATAAATACAACATTTAAATTTATGCGTATGCAGCAGAGGCAGTGTGGGCTCGGTAGGTGCGTCACCTTCTTCACAAAATTCACACTTCGACTATTGTTTTATATGTACAGGAGGCATTAAGGGTTGTAAAATTGTAATAATTTGACGATATCACAAAATCTTATCTCTAATATGACAAAATTGAGAGGAAATTTTTGAAAAATAGTGAATAGTTTGTATTTCAGTTGTCTTCAGCAATTTTTTCGAGTGTTTTATCGATTGTACAATATTGCTTTATGTCACAAAATTTTATTTGACGTCACAACATGAATTAACGAAAAACAAAAATAAGTTTATTTTTGGACTGAATTTTAAAATATATTTTTAAATTAATTATTTATTAAAAATTTCATAGTGACTGCTTGGGATGGTTCCTGACACGTACAGCAACAACTACGTTATACCTCGTTCTTTCAGCATTATTAAAAAAAACAATAGTGTGTTAATATTTTCATTTGATGTATAATCACACTAAATTTTTACAAAACAAGGAGTTTTATTATATTATTTACAAAGTCTACACTCCTGAATTAATTGTACGTATGTACTACAATAACATTTCGGACGCTACAAAAGCTACATGAATTTGATATTTTATGCTTCTACATAAATACTGAGTAGCTATAGTATTCCCAGCCAAATATCCGTTGGTTCAAATTAAAAATTTTAAATTACACTTTGGTTGCATCATACATCATGACAAGTGCATCGTTGCTGGAAAATTTAACCTCAAAAATCAAATTAAAGCTATTACATACGAATCAAACCGTTTTATAATTTAAGGCACAAGAAGTTACTAGGTGCTCTCTAAAAAAATACAAGCAAATAAATTTGGCATTTATTTTTTATTGCACGCGTTTAGTTATATCCTCGAATTGGCTTGCTACGCTATGCGTTCGAGTAGGAATTAATTCACGACATTCCTTTAGTTTTTCGTAATTGTTCGGATATTATATTTTTCGGTCATGCGCTACACGAACAAAAATGTTTAAAACATGTATGATGCAACGAATGGTTAATAAAATGTTGGTGATGATTTTTGGATAGTGTCAAGTTATAAACGAAAGCCCATCAACTAAACTAATCCAGTGGATTGCAAAATGCATGCCCTTAATTGCAGGCATTACCAACTAGACGATTATGTTAAAAATTAATTATATTTTCCTAAACGATGTCAGTCTTCATTCAAATTAGGTGATACATGGTATAAACAATTGTACACTTATGCTTTGGTTTTAAGCGTCCTTGTGATTTTATAATTTGAACTTAGTGTTCCTAACAACCTACTAATAGTAATTATAATGGATACACAAAATTCGTGTTGTGAGGTATTCACCGCAACGCGTTGAACAATATTATGGGAAGTATCCACAACGAAAGCTGGCAATTTAGGTTACCTGAAATAAAAGCAAAATTCAATTAACGCCGTTTAATTAATGAAAATGCTATTCAGTTTGCAATGAAATATTTTTGTGATAAATTAAAAATTGATGAGGGTCAACACAGTCCTGTGCACCGTCAAACAATGCAGACTTCGTTCGCAGGTCAATATAAGTCATAGGAAATTGAGAAAATTTCATTTCCGACGACCTTTAGGGCGTGTCATAAACTGTATGTGACACGGTATACACTAAGTACAATGCTGCTCAAAAGCAATCGCGTCGTTACTGTAATACTCTACGCTATTTTAAAAGTATTGTAACTTTTTTCTAAAATTCAATTTAAAAGTATATTGCTTTATCCGACCGCTATGTCGGGGAATAAACCAATATCCCTTAATATGCGCAAAAATTAAAGAATGAGATATTTTTCTTTTATGTCTTTGTTGTAGCATAATTCATTCGGACGAGATAAATACCGAATTTTAAACTTTATTCTAAACACGAACTGATGTTTACGACGTAAAAATGATAAAAAGTAAAGTAGCGGAAATTTGTGTCAATTCTCTTCATTTTTACAGATGCTGCTCAAAGTGCTATCGCAACATTGTTTATAGTTGTTGCAGTGATAGCGTATTGAGCTGCTTCCGACGGAGTGAAACGGATTGATGCCATATTCTCAATTTAGGCATTACTTATTCAACATTGTCAGTATAAACACGTATTACAAAAAACGATTTATACAAGACACAGCTGAATGGTGGAGGCTGTGTTTTACTCCATATTTAATGCCATCTATTTGTCACTTGTCAAAAAATTTACGGTTTTAATAGCTGCAAGGAACAGTTATCAAACAAAAGTATTAAACGTTTGTTGCATCGTTCTGTATCTAAATCTACAAAGTTCCTTGCGACTTGACGTCGTAACTCTAATCGCCACCAGCTTACATTTAAAATTTAAAAAATATCTCAGAATATGCAAGTCTTCGCTGACTTTCGTACGTGCTACATCTCACGTCATTTTCAGGTGAAGTTTGATTGTTTGGAATTATCTTAAACGCTTAAGGCCTCTTATTCGTTCGAACGTAACGGATTTTTTAGTAATTAAATCGTTTCGAGTAATTTCTGACACGTCTAATAGTGATGAATTCAAATATGAAAATCTATTGTGACAAAAATTGGTACAAAAATAAACTAAAATTTTATATACAGGGTGATGAAAAAATGACGTATAAGTTGGGTGGTACGTTGTTAAGAAGGCCTGAAGAACTCGAAAAAAATGGTTACAAATTTTTTTTGAAAATATTGAACTTGAATAACTTCGTAATTCTGGTAAGTTTTAATGCGAATTTCATTGAGACTGTAAAATTCCTATTAAAATTCCCAAAAATGACATTTGTCATCAGTAAAAATGACGTTTTGAATAGTATTCCATAACAAGTTATTATGAAATTGTTAATAATACTCAATTATATATATTTACAAATACGCACAAGGTGAATCAGCTAAAAAAGAACCCTTCGAATAACTTTTTTATTTATTAGCCAAAATATTAAATTTTCGAAAGTTTTTTGTTTTTCAGATTTTGCAGTTTTTTTTTAAACCTACAAAATTAGCTTTATTAACTTCACTATTTAATATTATTCGTAAATTATTGGAATTTAGAAAAAAATAATAATTTTCTAACTAACGTTGCTTGCTAGAGAAATTGGACGTAAAATTGGTAAAATGTTGGACTCGAAAATTAAAAAAATGTTAAAGGTCGCTGGGAAGTATCTTTATAATCTAACTAGCCTTTTGCTCTGGGCTTCACCCACTAAAATATTTTCAAAGTAAACCTGAATGTTGGCTGAATTCTACCAATCTTATTGGTCCCCTCCAAGACAGAATTTTTAAAAAATCTAAAAATATGGTATCTTTATTATGCACTAAAACCAAGTGATCGTAAGATCTGTAAAAAAATATTTGAACACGTTTCATTTACTTAAGAGTTGAATTTGGGACTTGAAAAAAAAAAAAGAACGACATGGTAAAGAAAAGAGAGATGGTTTCTAGTTGGCTTTTGACTGGGAAAGAAAAGATATAAAAGTATTTCGATTTTAGTGTAGAATTGAAATGAAGGAAAGTTAGATATCGTTAATTTAGGGAGAGTTCACGAAAACTTCTGTTCCGAGAAGACATAAACAATTATCAACTTTGAATTCAATTCAAGAAATTTCTAAGAAAATTAACTCTATTGGGACGGTTCCGTTTTCAGTAAAAGGAATATAGGAATTTAGACGGCACTACAGGTCGAAATTAACATTCAGCAAAAAAAAAAATAAGTTAGTAGCCATGATGCAGTGCAAGTAATTCTAGAAAAACTGAAAAGGTGGTTTCAACATGATACACTAATGTGTCCAAAACATATCTTGGCTGCATTATTCTTGTACGTGAACCACAGTGACGGGAATCCAGCTAGAATAAACCACCCGTGGCTGTAAGAAAGTAAATAGGTAAAACGACAGGTCTATGGAAATAGTAGGTGCAGGAACAGAAAAGAGTGGGTTTTTCGCCAGGATTCCGAACCCAGGTCTCCAAACTGCCGGTCAGGTGTGATAACCACTACACTATAAAGCACTTGTGGGAATGCGGGAAGTAGAATGTTGACATTTGTACGCTACTTTAAAGTTGTGCTGGCAACGGAAAGTAGAAAACACACGTGGGGGAAATTCGATCTAGCACCATGGCGGTTGCGCGAAATCTACAAAGAGGGTCGTAAGTGCAAAAATTACGATTATTTTATAATTGGTCATTCGATTATCCTGGCGTAAAAGTCGTGTGACGACTAAATCGATTTTTATTGAAATAAAGTTATTTTGTAAAAAATCAATGTAAACTAGGAGTTAAATCAAAGAATTTTATAATAATGACTAAATTTGTAAGATCGATTGAAAATATGCGTTGCAGATAGCAGCGACAATTGAAATAAAAAATATTTTTAAAGTAGTGAAACATCTTGAAGTGTTAATTACTTGAAGTTACGTTGTGGTAGACACATTAACTTATGAGGTTTCAGACTGAGAAGTGCAATATCTAAAGTGGATGACCTCTGAAAGAGAATGATAAATGTGCCGGGGGAAAACACATCAAAGACAATATGTGTTGAAACTCAAAATCTCAGACGATCACTTGGCTTTGCCTTTTATTATTGAGACCATGAATTCCATTTACATATAAATATTTAAAGTGCCCTTTCCCTTTACACCGTAATGAAACTTGGAATTCGAAACCGAAAACTTTACCCCACTATTTGCCAATTAAAATCAGAAGAAGGCAAATAAAAATTAGGTTTATAGTTTGGCTGCTTCGGTTTCTAAATAAAGCGACAAATTTAATGAATTATTCATAGGTGTAACGCGGCGATAACCGGCATATATTTCACGGGACAAAAACCGGCGTTTTTAGATATCATACGATAGCAAGGCTGCTTCAATTGTCTGTTCTATAGGAGGGCTGATACAATTCGATTTTTTTTAATATACGATAATGGCTCGAACCTCTAACAAAAGCCTGAAAACACGAACTTTTCAACTTTTACACCATCATTAAGGTTAATAGAATTGAAGTTTTAACCGTTGCGTTGTCCGGGTTTTGTTGTGTTTATTTTCGTCTTCCATGCACCATATTATTAATATTTTCTTTTCAAAAACTCACCTGAAGAACTATCTACACCATTTGGCACAATGTGACCGTAGCTCACACTCTTTCCTTCTCCGTCTGTGCTCTTCTGCTCAGATTTATCTATTTCGTTTAAGTTTGACTGATACTTCGAACCTGCAACACAGTCAGACATTTACACAAATATTTTAACACTCACTGTAACATTCCTTCACACATTTACTTCTAAAAAATTACTTAAAACATATTCCACTTTGCGTTTCAAGTTCATAATACAGTAGGACCTCGATTATTTGAACTATATTAACAATAAAGCACTTAACAAATATAACTCATGCCTCTATATAAATGCAGAGAATGTCACAATACATAAGGTACCCTAATATTCAGAATTTTATATAAAAGAAATACCGAAATGTTGTAGACGTCATTGTTTTTAGTTCGAAGGAAAAACTTTAAATAGAGCACTACACTTTTAATAACAGACTTCAATAAGCATTATTTATTGTAAAAAATATACATACATAAAATATATAAAGTCCATATATGTAGTTACTTTTAAGGGGCTAACAAATGAACTCAGGCATCCTGTGTTGTTAAAAAAATTAAATTAACAAATGTAGGGTAATATCAGTGCTGAATAATACCCACGTCCTATGGAAAGTTGATAAAACAATAACAAGTGCAATTATAAAATTAATTGTGCTAGAAAATGCCCAAAAAAAATAATGTAGTGAAGTGAGTTGTTGTGGTAACTAAATTATCCCAGTGGTTTCTGTTTCTTGGTAACTATTAAAGAATAAACTATCTTTGCTTTATTTAGTTAAGAAGTTTCGTCATTCATATTCAAGATTGCAAAAATTGTCTAGCAATTTGCAGCCGACAAACTTTTTATAAACTGATGTAGATAACAGGTGATCGAAACTTCGCTGCTTATTTTAATTAGTTAATCGAGTTTCTACTGTATCAGTATTCAAACCGTGCCCTATTTAATTTTAGAGAATGCCCAAAAATAAAATACAAATTATTCAATAACATTTTCCACATTCATCGCACATTTCCCTATTTGTTGGCATGTTTGTACGTCTGGTGGCTGCGCCATGTTCGGAACCGTTGTTGTGACGATTGTAAATTATTAACCGAGTAGTGCTGGGATGAATATTTTAAAATGTTTTCAGAATTTGGCAAAACTGTATAACAAGTTCCCTAAGGTTCGAGTTTGAAAATTGGGCATTCTTGAAAAATGTTTGAATTTAGGTAGGGTAGCATAATTTAATTACGGAGCTCGTTGTAGTTAAAATTCAACAAATAGAGGAAGGAAGATGCTAATCTTCGTTTGATTTCTAAATTTATTCATAAACTTGTATCCATTAGGGATTAACATCAATTTACCTCTCTGAGTAACACAAAATTCGTACTTCTATATGCGATTATTTAAGGGTTGGGGGCTTGTTAATGAGTCGAGAAACACCCGCGTGGATAAAAGTGAATTGTCGTCTTAAAGAGCTGTATAGGAGAAAACGCGTCCGGAAATGGAAAAAGAAAAAACGGAAAGACTCATTAAAAGTCCCAAAGGTGGAAGTTTCAGTTGGTTTGTACTGTATTAAAAACACCTCTCAATGGTCAACTAAGTTTTCGCATTGAGATTATGAGGAATATTTTATAATGCTGTGCCTTTTCAATACTACACAATGCGAAACGTGCTCAAACTTTTAACTGCAATTAAAAAGGAAATGAAAATACTTTTAAGGATAAAAGTTAGAAAAAAGAAAGCTTTTAGAAAGTATCCTCTACAAAAGGAGAGGTTTTGTTATTGCATCTCTAATATCATGATTACTATCCACAAGCTTCGGATTCTCAACGTACGCAAGTGTAGAACACCTTATATTGGAATTCATTCGCAAGATTCTTTCAAGCTGGAAACACTTGCCGTTGCCGAAAATTTCCTTTAATTTAAAGGGTTGTATTTAAATAGGCTATGCTTTGTAAGAAGTAAGCTCGAATATGCCAGCAATTTCAACAATTTTATCACTTTCGAGAATAATGTTTTTAAGAAAATAATACTACCTCGGAATCACTTTCAACGCATAAAGAGAGCAATAAATACATTTTTTAATAACAATAAAGATCTTGGAATTGTTTGCGAGTCGGTTTCAGCTTTCTAACCATCGCTATGCTTTGTTTGTAACAGAACTCGTGCCCTTTCCATTTATTTCTTCAAAAGTACATTGTCTGTAACAACTTGTTGGAAAACAAATTTAGAAACAACTCCTTTCGAGAAATTCCTACACCTACAGAAGAAACAAGTTCGGTTTTCATATCAAAATTAGTCGATTAAAGAACTTCAACTTCCAACTTCAAAAGGCACATAATTTACATTTAAAGATTTAAGACAAAACTTCAAATACCTTCTCCTGAAAAAAAAACTCTGACGTTGCTGCTTTTTATTTCGTTCCTTTCTGCAACCGTGGATGTCTTCGACGTATGTACAATCATGAACAATAAACACCAATTTACGTTTAGCTGTATCACGTCAAAGTTCAATTCATTTGACATTTTTACATCGTTTTAATTACAGTACGCCACCATTTTGTCTATTTCGGTTTCGTGCGAACAACAACAATTAGTAATGCCACTGTACAATTATTTTTGTTTACAATAACAAAGATACCTTTCTCGCCATGATGAATAGTGAGCGAAGAAGGATTTCCATAAACCGAATTGCTGAGATTGCCATTGCCCAATATATCCTTGATGCGACTTGGCGTTTCTGTTGTTGTTGACTTTGGTGGCGTCGTTGGAGGTGAAGAAGCTACGACAAAAACGTCCATCAATTCTCCTCATCAGCTACCAAATTCAACTTTTCTATTAATTAGTCCCTCTATACTTTTAGACATGTAAAAGGAGTGTCGACGCTTGTAGAAAACTTCGGATCTTAAGTGAACTGCGATGTAGAGCCTGTCGCGTTCGTATTTTTTCGTTTAAAATACTGCCAACGCTAATGGGCACGCTATTCGTATATAAAATGAAAACCGTAAACATGATTTACGTTTATTAGATGATTATTGGTACCTAATTAGACGTATAAGGGGTATTTAAGTTCTGAGGATGTTTTTATAATTGTGTAGTCCGGGTTACATGATACATTTACAAAAACATCCTTGAAACATATGTAATAACTCTTTGTTTTGCATTATAACACGTAACATAAATTCTATTCAAGTAAAAGCATAACTTAACTTTCTTTTTTATACGTGCAGTGTACCCAGTAGCGCTTACTATGTAGTAAATGGAAAATACGTGTCGTTCAGTTAATATTATCTGAAATTTTTAATATTTTGAAAAGATTTTTTTTGTTTATCAGTTCGTCTAACTTATGTCAATAACTTCTATGGAAAAACGTATTCTTTTTTAAGAATAGGCAACTAAAGTGATACATATTTTTTTATTAATTAATACTATTTTATTGGATATTTTAATTTCGACAAAAGAAAATCTGTGCTTTTCTTTCAAATTGTTATTTGAAAGAAAATTTCTAATAAACCACATGTTTGTGGTTTATTAGAAATTTTTGTTTTAAATATAGTTATCATTTTATTTCTTGTTTTTAAAATTTTCGTTTTTAGTGTTGTGCAGTATTCAACATTTGATTAAATTTCACCTACCAATACTCATTTAATACAGTCCCACTGTTTCGCAAAATCTACCACACTCAGTGTACTTGTTTATAGTAAAAAAATTGCTCTAAGGTTATTTACACTGAACTTCTTTTGTTCCTGTACAGTACAAATTCACCAGCTTTTTTGAAAAATTATAAGATTTGGTTTTTTTTATGAATCTTGTTTTTTATAACCTCTATAAGTTAAAATAAAGATATATGTGTGGATTAATTTATTTTATCATTGAAAATGGTATTGTAAATACATTATTATTACTATTATTATTATTATTATTAAAGTACAAGTAAAGAGGCATGCTATGCGTATGTTTCAAGCGGGTTTTTCCCTAATAAAATTTTGTGATAATGTTGTCAATATTTTAGCAAAGACACGTAAACATATCAGTTAAAAATTTAGGTAGATGCAGTGTAATACTAATAAAAAAGAACTGCTTTCCCAAAGTTTCTGGAAAATGAGGTGTGGTATTCTTGATTCGATCAATAAAATAAATTGTCTCATTCATTTTTTTTAATTACCCTGTATTAGCAATTCTGAAAAATACGAATGCATTAATAAATTGCAAGTGCAGATATTTTGCATATTTTAGATAGGATTTATTGGATAAACTTTTGAAATGACGTTAATAATTTTTTTGGAAAAAAATACTCCCCACAAAAATGAATGCAAACCCTCAAAATTTTGTATATTTCCAATTTGAATATATGTAGAAAAAACATGTCGGTCGAAATCACATTAAATATTATCATTATTTGGCATTGTCTTGCATACATTTATTCTTAAAATATGTATATGTTAGCTACATGTAGTCCGGTTTCCTAGAACTGAAGCTGGTGCGAGAATTTTTGTGAGGAGTGTATTTACTATGCAACATTTTGAGAAGACACCATAAAATTATTGGTAGGGATGATCAGACAAATTTTTGGTAGTGTTTTGTTATCTACATAATTAATATTCATAACATATATGTAAAATTTACAAGAATCGGTCCGACACTTTCGAAGCTGATCTGTCTAATAAAAATCGGCATAGACAGACGACAGATAGACAAACAGAGAGACAAACAGACAGAGAGACAGACAGACAGACAGACAAACAAGCAGACAAACAGAGGATAGGCGACAGACAGACGGAAATGGAGACCTATTGTTTCATACTCTAGGGGTCCTCACGTTGGGGAAAGAAACACAAACACATATAAACTTTTCTTTTATAACGTTCTTTATAGCGTCTCAGTAAAAAGCATTATCAACTCAGTCGGAATGCCACTGTTTTGTTTGAGGAGTGTAATTTGCTCCGTAGCCTCCTAGTCGCATCCACCACTTGACATTAAAATGGGTTTTAGACTAATAAGATTTAATAAACCATGGAGTACGTTCTCATTTGATTTTTCTCTACTATTCTAATAACACCAAATCCTTTTGTTTTGGGTTTATAATTCAACGCTATTGAGTCTCCGTAGATCTTAATACTTTTACCATTTTCATGGCTGTTTTTATAGTTTACGTCAGTTAGGGAAGTCAGACATTACATAAGTAGCAAACAGATTGGATAAATATCAGTTCGATGTCTATTAAACTGAAACTGATAGCAGTCTTGTTTGCGAACTACAGATACAAAGAAAGTATAATGAACGCCGTATGCCAAATAAAACAGTTGTCAATTTGACGACGTTTTTCTCACATTACGTAGGATTATTTCAATGTATTGCAACAAAAAGACCTAAAATTTTGAAGTCTATAGCAGGTGAAAATAGGTAGATATGTTATACGAAAACTAAATCGATACGATTTTATTTCATGGATGACCCGATCATAAATTTTCTTGATTAGACAATATATCTATATATCTACCGCAAACAAAGTACAATTTTGCCGCCTTGTCGAAACAGTGATTCATAATAAAATTGGGCAAAAACGAAAAAATTTGAGTTCATGTATTTTCATTTATTTTTATTTTTTATCAAAATAACTCTGCAGAGTTGCACTCTGTACGACAATTTTGATAGTTATTTTGAAGTTACATTGGCCGTTGTGAGCTTCACTTGCTCCTAGTGACTCGCTGTTCTTGTAACGGGTGTTCAATTGCAAAAACACTTGGAGAAGGCTTATAACATCCATTTGGCCGAAACATAACCTGCTATATGCTATATGTTATAAGAACAGACATGCCGTTTGTGTCAAATGAAATTCCAACGCCTACTCTGAGTGATTTTTTAGTTGAACACCCGTTATTTATCTAGTCAAAAAAAAAAAAACAAACCGATTCCCGATCTAGGCTGAGCATTCGGAATTAAGTGTTAAACGGTATAATACATTGCTAAGTATAAGTCTTAGGAACCGAAACTCTGTAAGAATGTGCTCAGATGTTGAAGACAATTATAGTTTAAGACTATTGTGTATTTTTATATTACAAAAGCGTTTTTTTTTAATGCTTCAACAGACAGTTATAATCTATGTTGTTCGTCACAAACTATAAAAATCGAAATAAAAGTATGATACATTTATTTTGATATTCTGAATAAAGGGAAATCTGTCGAAGGCCAGTTGGAATTAGGTTTAATAATGTATAAATTAGGTTTGAATATTGAGTTGATGTCTATCACGCGCTGTGAAAAAGTACCGTTATTTGTGTGTTTTGAGTGAAAGAATTCGATGTGTGAAAGCAATAAAACTCTTTTTTGTTAATATCGAGCAGGTCGGAGGGCTGTGAGAAATCGTGTGGCGGCGGTGCGACGTCGATTTGGTCGTTACCGCTATGTGACAATCTGCCGCCGCATGACGACATATTCATATTCATTTTATCGTTGATGAATTGCGAGATTTGAACATTGACACTGATTGAACGGTACAACTTGATTAGATACGGTGTTAAGCGAGTAAGTTGAGTGCTGTAAAATTTGTCATTCCCTTATATCGACGACGTGGGGTTACGGATGCGAATGGATGATGCCACAAATCGCTGGTACCTGAGACAAATTGCCCATATATTATCCCTATCGAACTCAAACAATAAAATAAATAAAAAAAGGGAACTCCTTCCTGTCGTCATCTACTCGAATTTACTGGCGCGGCCTTGTCATGTATATGCTTTTCCGAATGAAAAACTTGATTCGTTCGATTATTTTCCCGTAATATTAGTGGAGTAAGAAAAGTCAGCAACTGTCGGAACGTTGCGCCAAGCTGTTGCTATAGTAACGACACGTGTTGAGCACGGCGTTACTTTGTGAATCTTGTCACGTTATGAGATGAAAAGGGACCTTTGGGAAAAGCAAAAGGAGACGAGGAGATCGAAGGGGTGGACTTCAGATCGAGATGATGACGCTAAACAGACACCCCAAACAATTGAATTAGAACAATGCAACCCGCAATTCTAATTGAAGAATTAATCTATGCAAGACCGCGCCATCTTGCGGAAAAACGGCTTGTCGTCGACTTGTCAGCTGTGCTAGCTACATCGATGGAACTTTGGCGTGGTGTTATTCGAACACTACGCTTAAGCACCTCGTGCACAATTTCCATAATAATTACCAACCAGTCATCAATTTATTTCGTATGTTACTCTTTCAGCAGCGAAATAAATTTTTATTTAATAAACAATAAACATCTTTCTTCATGCAATATACAGGATACTAATTTCTGATAGTCCATCTCGATAAATAAAAAATTGACAAAAAGTTATCAAGACAAAACTTCCCCTTGCCCTGAAACACAATCTAACAAATAGCAGCAAATATTAACAAGTTATGACACATTTACATAGTTTTATTCAATCGTTTTTATTTCTCGAGAATAAGCTAAGGAAGTATTGTGATCGAGTCCATCGGCCGGCTGGTTACTTAAAGATTTTCTCGATCATAACCTCTAGAGTACGAAAACAATAGGTCTCCAGTTTCCGTCTATTTGTCTGTCTGCCCGTGTGGATTTTTGTTAGACAGATAATCTCCAAAACTACCAGACCGATTGTTATGAATATCATGTAGATGGTAGAATAAAACGCTAACCAAACTCTGTCTAATCATTCATAGTAAACGAATTTTAAATTGTATAAAGTAACATACTCCTACACATTTAGTTTCTGAATACATGTTGAGTTTTTACCCAAAGCATCCAGATTTTTTGGAAAAAAACAAAAT